AAAATATTTTATTTTCAGTTCTTTTTCACTATATATAGCAAACGATACTGTTAATCCAAGTAGTAAAACACAGATTTGGTCAGACAGTTTGAAAAAATATTTTAAATTATTAAATTATTAATAACAATAAAATTATTTAATTTTTTAAATTAGTAGTAACAGTAAATTTTAGTTACACCTGTAATTTTTTTTGCATTAGTAAAAAAAGATTGCTAAAGTCAGGCAAAAAATTTGAAATTAATAGTAAAGGTGTGATATAATTTTTTGCATTAGTTGTAAATGATTGTTACAGTTAGACAAAAAAATTAAAATTAGTAATAAAGGTGATAGTAATAGTAGTAAAGGTCTTATTTAGTCAGACATTTCCAGTGAGACAGAATATTACAAGGAATTTCTATTTAGAAGATAGAATTAGACGAACCAAATTCTTCTTATTTTTTATATTAGTAGTAAATGACAGTTATAGTCAGACAGTATTTACTATGGTAATTATTATTCCGTAAATAGTATACTAAATCTTTTTCAGTAGTAAAAGTAAGTTTTTGTCAGACAAATTTTTTTTCAAAGTCTCCTTTATTTTAGTATTTTTTGTAAAAAAAAACATTAGTATTAAAGGTCAATTTTAGTCAGACATATTCTATTGCCATTTATCAGTAAAAGAAAATTTCATTCATCTTTGAAATGTTACTACTTTGATATTAGTAGAAAACGGCTATTTTTAATCAGAAAATTTTTTAATTACTGTAATTATTTAAGTAGTATAAGTCAAGATCAAACGAATCATTTCAAAATTCTTTTTATTTTACTATCAGTGATTAAAGTCGTCTTCATATCAGACAAGAAGTTTTTAATTTTTTTAATTATTATTTAAGTAGTATAAGAAAATATTAGTCAGACTAAAATATTAGTCAGACTAAAATATTAGTTATTAGTTAAAATATTAGTTATTTATTAAAAAATTCTTTCCTAATTTACTATCATTAAAAGTCGGCTTTAGTCTGATTATTTTTTAAGTAGTATAACTCAATATCAGTTAGACGAATCATTGCAAAAAATCTTTTCGATTTTCAGTAGTAAACTTCCGCTTTAGTCAGACAGAAAAATTGAATTTTTTTTTTATAAAAATTTTTCTCTATTGTAAAATTAGTAGTAAAAGTCCATTCTAGTATTAGACACAACTTTTGTAAGTAGTATCCGCCATTTGCAGTCAGACAAATATAATTCCAAATCCTCGTTATTTTATCATTGGTAATTAAAAACAGTTACAGTATTTTTTTCCTTTTTTTCATTTTAAATATTTTTTTTTTAGAGACATTGATATCATCCAATTAATACCCAATCCACTTTCGATGTATATATGTATACTAATTGCTCTTTCTCTCTGGAGAGTGAGTCATTCTCGCATATATATATATAAAGGAGAGCGGTTTTTTTTCTCTCTCTCTCTCATACTTCCACATCGATGAGTACAAGAAATCAACTCGTTGGACAATGGAGAACCATTTCCACGTTTAATTGATTTCCGTCTGTCGTTGCTCCGGATTCTGTACAAGCCGAATATCTAGACCGTAAGGGATATAACGGACGAGTCGGAATGGCCTATGAAAGGCAGACTATTCGTAATTGGAAAGCAAGAAGAAAAGTGGAGAAAGTTCAATTGAAATTGCACTTCATTCTGAATTCAACCCAAAAAGTCCCTTATCGCTCTCTTTCTATCTCTCTCTCTCTCACTCCTACTGTCTCTCTTTTCACTCTGATTCTGTTCATTTCAAGCTGTTAACTTACTTTTTCAATTATATATACTTCTGTTACAAAAATTCAACAAAATTTATTTTATAAAAAATTTTTATTTTTTTTTTTTTGTTCACGCAAAAAAAATCTTCGCCTAGAACAGCGATAAATTTCTCTGTAATAGCAATATATTTCTCTAGAATAGCGAAAACTTTCGATGTTTTAGTGAAACGTATCACTGTTCTAGATAAAGATTTTTTTAGGTCGGTAATCCTGGAAGAACCACTTCCACAAAAAAAGTTTTTACATATGCCTACATTTAGGGCTCAATTAGGGCTAATTTAGTACCAAATGCTATTTAAAATTTTTAAAAACCACCCCTAAGTACAAAAAAACATCCCCAATTATTTAAACTCGATTTTATCAAACAATAATCATATAGGAATTAAGAGCTAAGTTAGGGTTCTTCAATAGTACTAAATTCACTTTTTAAAAGTGCACCCCAACCACCCCAGCCAAGTAACTGATAGATAGACAACCACAAAAACTATCCTCAACTAGTTAAAACTCAATATTTTCAAAAACAAACACATACACATTTAAGGCTAATTTAGGGCTCTAAAATATAATTAGATTGGTTATTCAAAAATGATACACCAACTTCAAAAACTACCGCGGAGTAGTTCAAAGTTAATTTTTTCAAAAAACAAATACTTAGGAATTTAGGGATAATTTAGGGCTCTTAAATGGAACTACATTGAGTGTTCAAAAATGATACATTAACTTTAAAAACTACCCCAGTGTGGTTCAAACTTAATTTTTTGAAGAAACAAATACTTACCCAGCAAACACTGTTACAGGTCAGTTATAGAACTGTTACAAATTTTTTGAGAATATGTTCTGTAACTGGTTATGAACCTGTGAGTCACTGGTTACGCAAAATGTCGTACTCAGTGGATATGTAAGATTCTGTAACAGTTCTAGAACTATTTTGTAACAACTATAAAATGGTACATAACTATTATCGCACGATTATAACCTAAAAATACATGCAAAATATTTTTATTCTTAATAAAAATATTAAAACTTGATGTAATAGAAAAAGGAAACTCTAAAATAAACATAGTTAGAACAATGTCAAATTTCAACTGTTCTATAGCAATATCGCTCCACAGGCTAATACGCTAACCATTACGCTACCCTAACAAGGGAATGCAAATACAACATTGATTTGATAACTTGCGACTGAGGAGGATTTAAAAACTGTATTGCTTATATAAAAAAAAACAATAAGACTATGTGATATATAAAAATTTTAGAGTTTTTTAAATTTAACTACATACTTAAGTAAAATGAACTATTTATTTATTAATTCCATAGAAAATAGTTAAGGTACTTATGAACACTTCAAAATTCTTAATCTCAGGTACAAATATATTCCAGAACTGAACTTCATCAAAATTTTAGAACAGTTACATATCATTGTTCCGATATAGTTCTAGATATGCGAAGGAACATTAGTTATAAAAAATTTGTGGCTGTAGTGTTATAGAAATGTTATGTAACACTGTTGCAGAATTGTTCCCATTTTTAGGTACAAATGTCATCCAGAACTAATCTGCAACAAAATTTTAGAACAGCTACATAACATTTTTCAGACACAGTTCTAGAACTACGTTGGAACGTCAGTTACAGATCATTTGTGATGATTGTGTTACAGAAATGTTACATTACATTGTTAAAGAACTGTGAAGTTAGCATAATATAGAATAAATCGGTAACTCTCTAGTAACAATGTTCTAGAATTCTGTTACAATGAGGTTATATAACAGATTCATAATCAGCTTGTAACAAGTGTGTTCTATAAAACTGTGTCCTCACTGTTATAATAACATTTATAGAACGTGTTTGCTGGGTAGGGATTTAGGGCTAATTTTTTCAAAAAATTAAGTTTGAACAACTCCGCGGTACTATTTAAAGTTGGGGTATCATTTTTGAACACCCAATGTAGTTCCATTTAAAAGTCCTAAATTAGCCCTAAATTCCTAAGTATTTGTTTCTTCAAAAAATTAAGTTTCAACTACTCTCGGGTAGTTTTTAAAGTTGGTGTATCATTTTTAAACACTCAATGTAGTTCCATTTAAGAGCCTTAAATTAGCCCTAAATTCCTAAGTATTTGTTTTTTGAAAAAATTAACTTTGAACTACTCCGCGGTAGTTTTTGAAGTTGGTATATCATTTTTGAACAATCAATCTAATTATATTTTAGAGCCCTAAATTAGCCTTAAATGTGTATGTGTTTGTTTTTGAAAATATTGAGTTTTAACTAGTTGAGGGTAGTTTTTGTGGTTGTCTATCTATCAGTTACTTGACTGGGGTGGTTGGGGTGCACTTTTAAAAAGTGAATTTAGTGCTATTGAAGAACCCTAATTTAGCTCTTAATTCCTATATGATTATTGTTTGATTAAATCGAGTTTAAATAATTAGGGATGTTTTTTTGTATTTAGGGGTGGTTTTTAAAATTTTTAAATAGTTCCACTTGAGGGCCCTAAATGAGCCCTAAATTCCTATGGAAGAAATTTTGAAAAATATTTATGTTCTATAGTGTGGTACTTCCAGCTTGACGTCAAGGTAGCAGTACCAAGGGTTATTTTAAATAGGTAAAGGGCCCTAAATTTTTGCATGTGGTACTAAATTAGCCCTAATTGAGCCCTAAATGTTGGCATATGTAAAAACTTTTTTTGTGGAAGTGGTACTTCACAGGATTACCGACCTAATTTTTTTGCGTGTTTGTTGTTTTATTTCATTTTATTTTTATTAACATTTTTATTTTTAATTATATATAATAAATTTTTTATTATTAGTTTAATAAATAAAATTTTTCTTTTTTTAAATTATTTTTATGGGAAGAATTAAGTAAAATTATTAACAAAAGCAATTTTTCACGGAAAAAAAAAAAATTTACTTGAAATAGCGAAAGATCTAACTGAAACAAATAAAATTTTTGCTACTATAGCAAAACGTGTCGCTGTTCCAGGTAAAATTTTTTTTTCCGTATGATAATTCAAATTTTTTTTTTTCGTAAATCAACTGAATTATTTTTTTTGGAGTAATTTTTATAATAAACGTTTTAAAATAAAAAAATTAAAAATTATTTATAATAATAATAATAATAATAATAATTAATAATAATAACAATAATAATTAATAATAATAATAATTAATAACAACGAAATAATAATAATTTACCGTCTTGTTATTGATTCGCAGAGACACAGTATCCACGGAATGATGGAAGAGGAGAACGTGATAAGGCCTCACCAGGAAATGGGCAGTCTCTCATTAGATGAAAAGAAATTTCTCTTAGCCGTTGAACGAGGAGATGTTGCTTCGGTTAGAAGGTATTCTATTTTTAATTTACAGACTATTTTCAAAAATTTCGATTATTTATGTTTTCTATTAATTTTTCTTTCATAAATATATTGTAAAGAGGAATCAAAAAAAATATGGAAAAAAACTTATTTTTATTTTATTTATTTACTTTCATTGTTATAAATTAAATATTTATTTATTCAAATTATTTAAATATATATTATATATTAATATATTAATATATTAAATATTAATATTTTATATTAAAAATATATATTTAAAATAATTTATATAAATATAAATAAAATAAAACAAAATTTTTTTTTCCCTAACTTTTTTTTAAAAAAAGGAATATTTATTTATAATTTTCTTTTATAGAAAATCTATTTTTTTTTTGCGAACTTTTTTTTAATATAAAAATTTAGTATTAAAAAATATATAATATTTGATCAATAGAATTTTTTTTTGCATTTTACACAATTTTTTTTTTACAATATAAAAATTAAATTTCGATTCTCTTATTTAAAATCTGCCAATTATACGAGAGAATTTTACATTTTTCTAAAGTATATATATATGCATTTAAAAGAACTTGATATTTCCACTTAAAAAATATTCAGACTTGAATGTCTTCATTATAAAAACATAAAAAACTTCAAAGCTATAAAAGTTAAATTCATTAAAACCTCAAAGGATTCATTTTCAAGGCACCGACTCTCTTTTTAATTAAAATTTCTCCTCTCACTCACCACTGAATGACAATCTTAATTCTCTGATTTCTATGTCTTATAAAAAAGCAAAAAGAAAAAAAAAGAAATGAAAAAAATAGAAGGCAATTTAAACATTTCATATATTTTTTTGTATGAATGAAGTCCAGAATATTATATTAAAATTCACTCTTCATATACATGCATAATACTTTTCTCTAAATAATGTTACGTGTAATTAAACTTTAAAAAAAAATTTTTATCCATTTTATTCAAATTTAAATTAATTTTTCATTTTATTTATTTATTATTTTAAATTTTTATTATTTTTTTTTTATTTTTAATTAAAATGATAATATCGATCACTTTATTTATTTTTATTTTTTATTATTATTATTATATTTTTATTATTATTTTATTTTTTAGTTCAACCTGACTAGGAGTGATCTTAATTTTTAAATACCGCCGAGTGATAAATTCAAAATAATATGATTTTATTATTTTTTTTTAATTTTAATTTTTATATTCAATTTGATAATATATTGTAATTTTATTTCAACTACCTATTTATTCTATCTGCGCATTTTATTTTTTTGAATATTAAAACCCACACCTATTACAAAAATAACCATCGAAATAATTATATAAAATATAATATATGTAAAAAGTGAGTCAGTCGTGAATTGTTCCTTTATGTGACATGTCGTGTTTTAATTTTGTTGTGACCCTTCCGTACACACCCTTAGAATTTCATTTCCTTCGACACTGAAAAAAAAAACCCCAAAAAATATCTTAATAAAAATTTTCATTGTTCATATAAATTTTTCATCTTTATTACAATGGTAACTAATTTTCTATATACTTATAAAGTTTTATTTCAATTTTTTATTATTATGTATTTAAAAAAAAAAATTCCTTTACATCCATTGTAATAAATAATTTTTATAATTTTTTTTTTCATTTATTATCAAAAAAAAATTAATATTCAATTATTTATGATTGTTCAGAAAATTATAATCTTTTTAATTATATTTATTAATTAACGTTTTAATTATCATAATTTTAATTAACATCTATTACACTGAAAAAAAATATTTGATTCAAATAATCAGTTACTGTATAAAAATAAAAATAAAAAATAAGTAAAATAAAATAAATTGTACTTAGACCAATAATTTTTTAATTTTTAATTACCAATATTTATTTGATAATTGACAAATAATAATCGATTATTTGAATCAAATAAATTTTGTTCAGTAAGCATTAATCAGAAATTAAAAGAAAAATAATTAATAAATAAATGTAAAAATAAATAATAAATAACTAATGAAAATTAATTAATTAAAAATTAAAAGAAAAATTTATAAATAGATCAATATTTTTATGTTAATAAATAAATAAAAATAAAAATAATAAAATAAATGAAAATTAAAAAATAACTAAAAAAATTAATTAATTAAGAAAAATAAATTAATAAAAAATAAAAATTGATTTAAAAAAATGAATTAATTGACAAAAATGTTTAATTTTTCAATGATAACAATAATGCACTATTGTTGGAAGCATAATAGTCATTTTGAGATTCAAGTATAACATTGTATTGTTTTGCAGAATGTTGCAGAGGGCCCAGGAGACAGATTATATAAATGTGAATTGTGTGGATCCGTTAGGAAGGACTGCGCTGCTTATGGCAATAGATAACGAGAATTTAGAGATGGTGGAGCTGTTAATCGAATATAAAGTAGACACAAAAGACGCGTTACTTCACGCAATTTCCGAGGAATTTGTTGAAGCTGTCGAGGTCCTTTTGGAACACGAGGAAACAATTCCACGACCAAGTGGAGCACCACACGTAAGCAGTCCTGTATCGCCTGCTTGCAATATGCCCGATTGTAGTCTTGTACGTAGTAGTTCTCTAAAATATCTACAAATTTTTTTTTTTTTATTTCATCTTTCATGCTCTAACTAATGCCGTTTTCTAATAAAAAATAATTGTATCATTTATTTATTTTTGGAATTTAATAATAAAAATCAAAATCCTATTTATTAGTAAAAAAAAAAAATTATTTAATTTATTTATTTATTCACAGTAAACGGGACAAGACATTTTTTTTTTATTAAGAATTTTTTTTTTAATTCTTTTTTCTAGAAATAAAAAAATTGTCTTTGGAAAATAATTATAATTCACGTATTTCTACAATAAAAAGCATTTTTAGTTTTATGGAGAAAAAAAGTATTCCCATTCATATGTGGGAATTAAAAGAATTTCTATTTTTATAGATGTTACATAAATCTTTGGTATTTAAAAATAAAAAGGATTTTGACTTTTATTGGATATAAAATTCTCTTTAGTAAAGCTTATAAAAAAAAATTATTCCCTTCTTTTTTCATAGAAGAATAGTAGTTTTTATTCAAGAAATAATTCTAAAAATTTTTTTCTTTAAAAAGAATTTTTTTTTCCACTGAATAAAAAATTATTTTTTTTTATCAGAAATATTTTTTCTTTCTAGGAAAACAAAATTTCGTTTTCAATTTTATAGGAATAATTATTATTAGAATTTTAATTATAAAAGAGAAAAATGTAACATTTTTATTGAAATATAAGGAAAAAAAATATTTTTTTTTTTTATATAATTCACTATGACATTTCACGATAGCGCATTAAATCATTCTCGACATTATTCACTAGTTTATGTCGATCATAAAGTATATGAATTATTCAATAATAATTTTCCATTTCATTTGAGTATTTTCCGATTTATTCTTATAATGAATAATAAAATAAGAAAACGTAAAGTCATCTTGTATATTGAAGAAATTCACAAGGAAATATATTTTGATCTTATTTATTGTCTTTATGTATATAAAAAAATAGAAAATAGTATTTGCTTGCTTATTGAATTAATATATAGAAATTTAAAAAAAAAATGTTTATTTTTTATTCGTACATTTTATTTGCATGTAATAGGAAACGGCACTAACTTGTGGCTTGAAAAACAGAATGCAAACGACTCGTCGTGACTTTTTTTTTTGATTTATAAAAAAAATGTCTACTATTTAAAAAAAAAAAATTATTTTACTATTTGTAAAAATAATTATTATTTTACTATATATGTAAAAACAATTATTTTACTATCTGTAAAAGCAATTATTTTACTATCTGTAAAAAAAAATTATTTTTATATTTATTTTCAATATAATTTTTTTATTAGTTTCGTTTCAATATACATTTTTTGTGATCTGAGTCAAGGATATATTCCTGATTTATAGTATCGTTATTTTCAACGAAAAAATCTATTTCATAAATTTAATGTTTGACTATCATGTTTTACATAAAAAATTCTAATGTGCATGTTTATAAATGTCAGTGATAAAGTGTACCAATATACCATTAAAATATAAAATACTAGTTAGTAAAATTATTAAAAAAATACAATTTAAAATAAATATAATTTACAATAATAATAAGAATAATAAAAATTAAAAATATTAAAAATAATACTAAAAATAATAATAATACATTTTTTTCGTATTATAGTAATGTAAATATTATTCTAATAATGTATAGATAAAGTAAAAAATATTACCAGTTTAAAAAAAATATACAGTTAAAAGTGCCTCCGATAAATAAAATAATAATAAAAAAGAAAAAAACACATCTTTCTCTGAAAACGATCGTAAAGTACAGCTGATATATATATATAATAAAGAACTGAAAAAAAGAAGTAGAAAACTTAATCTAAAACGAGAGAATGTGAAAGAAATAAGGGAAGAAAAAAAAATAATGAAGAAAATCAATTAAAACCAAAGTTTTAATTCATTGAAACCTAAAAAGTTTTTCACTTGGGAAAATTAATCGAATTTCAAGTCAATCACTTTATACAATTCAAATCCAAATATATAGGAGATTAATTATAATTATCCTTGAAAATCTCTATGTAATTTCATTAATGACTACAATCATATATTCTCTCATCCTTATCAATAATGTGTGCTCTGACATCTTAAAACCCTCCGACAAAATTCATCTCATTTACATTTCGATTTCCTTAATGACTAATTCTATGACATTGAAATAAAAAAAAATTCTCTTATTTTTAGAAGCAATTTTCCGATAATTTTTTCTTTTAACTTGGATTTATTTCAATAAACAAAATAATATATTCTTTAAAAGAGGGAAAATTAAAATAATTATAATTTAAAAATAAATAATTTATTAAAATTTCAAAATTTTTCTTTTTAATTTTTTGTAAAATTTATATCTCTTGGAATGAATTAGACACACTGCTTTCATTAATCGCATGGTAAAAAAAAAAATTTAGAGCGCATTAAAAGGTTATCCGGGGGAAAAGTCACGGCCAGGCTATTTCTAAAATAACGTAATTAAAATTTTTCAACTACTTTTCAGAGTTGGGAAGCTTTACCGGCTGATACTGCAACTTTCACGCCGGATATAACACCTCTGATCCTCTCTGCTCACAGAGATAATTACGAGATAATAAAGATCCTTCTCGATCGTGGATCCACTTTACCAATGCCCCATGACGTTCGTTGCGGGTGAGTTATTTTTTTCATAATTTAACAAAAAAAAAAAATAATTTATTGTAATTTTGGAAGAAAAAATAAAAGCAAATTAGTATTTTTATATTAAAATATTTAAAAGAAATTTTAATTATATATAATAATAAAATGCTTGGTCTGTCCTTCTGTCCTAACTTGAAGTTGGCCTTTTCTGATTTCACGTGTTTTTTTGAATAGTAATCTTATGACGTGTCAAATTTTGACAATTCTTTTTCTCATTTTTGCCAAAATTGTATAATTGTGTTTCCAAATTTCGGAATAAGTTTCTTTAAAATTCCAAATTCGAAAATTCAATTCACGAAGCTGAAATACACAAAGTTTACCAACGAAATTTTTTTTAAAGTTGTATATTGATTCAAAAATTGTATACAAATACAAAAAATTTATGATGAGAAAAAAGATGCGCCAGGAAATTTCGTACAAGATAGTAATTTGAAAAAAATTTATTTTTAAAAATTAATTTTTAAGGTACTAGGGGCCAACGAATATCTATTAAATATTAATTATAAAAACACAGGCCTCGAATCAACTTAAAGACACAAAAAGTCGTTTTAGTCGATTTATATTCCAAAAAAAAGTGGATTTGTTTTTTATTTTAACAAAAATATTTTACAGATTTTTAAATAAAATTTTTTTTTTTAATAATAATCCTTTTCGAAGGGTTAAAGTTGAAATTTTTAGAAATAATTAAATTTCAAAAGATATTGTTAATTTTCAAACAATTATTAAATTTTACAGAACTAAAAATAATTTATCAAACAATTTTTGGAAAACATTTTTTAAATTTAATTGAATTTTCAAAAATTTAAAATTGAGTGTAATTGAAACTTTAAGTGTTTTGTAATTAAAATTTTAGATGATTTCACGAAAAATTTATTAGAAATTGCGGACAAAATACAATAATTTGAAAATCATTTTTAATTGAAAAATGGTTTCAGATAGTTGAATTTTCAAAGAATATTATTAAAATAGTTAAAAATAATTGAATTTCCTTGGAGTTATAATTGAAATTATTAAATTTCAAAAAAAAAATTTTCGATGGAAAATTTTAGAAATAATTAAATTTTAGATGCTTTTAAATTCAAATTATTGAAAATTCAATTAATTTTGAATTCAAATTTTTGAGAATAATAAAATTTTATTTGATTTTAAATTTGGAAAATAATTGAATTTCAGTTCATTTTGAATTGAAAATTTTGGGAAATAATTGAATTTTAATTGAAATTTTGGATAATAATTTAATTTAAGTTCATTTTTGATTGAAAATTTGGATAATTAAATTTGAATAGAAATTTTAGAAATTAATTGAATTTTATTTCATTTTAAATTGAAAACTTGGTAAATAATTAAATTTTAAATTGAAAATTTTGGATAATTATTGAATTTTAATTGATTTTGAATTAAAATTTTGAAAATAATTGAATTTTAGTTTATTTTGAATTTAAATTTTTAAAAAATAATTCAATTTTATTGTGATATTTTTTTTTAAATTATAAACAATTGTTAAATTTCATAAAAATTTTAATTGAAAAAATAATTTTGATATAATTGAATTTGTGATGTATTTCATTAAAATTATTAAAAATAATTAATTTAGTGAAGAATCATTTTAGTTCAAAATTTGTTAAATAATTAAACTGAAGAAGATCTAAAGAAGATCTACATTTTATACTAAAAAAAATGTATTTTATTTACATTTTTTTTTCAAATGTAAAAAAAAATGTCGCATTTTATTAAAATAAGTCGATAAAAGTCGTATTTTTGAAAAAAAAGTCGGAAAAAGTCGTATAATCCGAGGCCTGTAAACATATAATTTTCATTATTATTATTTAATATATAATAATATTCTAATAAATTAAATTATTATTGATAATATTAATCTTTAATTTCTTTATAACAAACAATTAAATACTCAATTTGGCGTGCTTGCGCGCGTTTAATTTTGCTAGTTTTTATATTAAAATATTTAAAAGAAATTTTAATTCTTTTTATAAAAAAAGAAATGTTAATTTTCTATTATTTCAATTGAATTTTTTCCTTTTAATTATTTTTTCCTGCAAAAAATAAATCGATTTTTAATAAAAAAAAATTTTTTCTTATTTCAAATACAGATGTGATGAGTGCGTACAATCAAGAATCGATGATTCTCTACGACATTCCAGGAGTAGGATAAACGCCTATCGTGCATTGGCTTCACCGTCATTAATCGCCTTGTCCTCTAAGGACCCCATCTTAACGGCCTTTGAACTCTCCTGGGAGCTTCGTCGTCTTTCCTTTCTCGAGCATGAATTCAAGTGCGAGTACCAGGTGACGCTCTAAATAAACCTTAATTGCACCTCTTTCGTTTCAAGTACATCTTGAGTGTATATATATTTTCCCCCTTTTTGTTTTTTTTGTTTTTTTCTCTCTCTCTCTCTTTAAAGTTCCGCCTTTCTGCCTCGTAAGAAAATTAAAATGTAATCAGAAAAAATAAGAATTCCTTTGGGGGAAAAAAAAAATTTTTATCCAAGCGAATATTTAGATAACGTACAACATGGGAAAAATTGCTATTTATTTATGCACATTGAAAAGTTTGCCTATATCAATTTTAAAAGTCAAATTTTATATCCTAAAGAGAAAATATCCGACAAAACAAGAAGATTTTTATCTCTCACATTTATGATATTTCAGTTAGATATATATCTTCAAAACGAGCACACATGAATTTTCCTTTATAAATATACACACTTTTGAAAGTAATATTAGAAAAATAATAGATATCGATATTTGTTTCAATTCTAAAAAGAAAAAATTTTTATTTCGAATTTTATTTGCAATAACACATTTATTTAAAAAATATTTCTTTGGCTCTGAGGGAAATATAACGATAAATTATAATATATAATTTATATTATGTATAAAAATATATAAAAAAAAATATATCTATAAGTATAAAATTATTGCAAACAATTATGATTATTGCGAAAAAAAAATTAATTAAATAAAAAAATTTCTATTGATTTTGAATGTAACTTATATAAATAAATTAAAATGACATGATCGTTGCTGGATTCTAATTTACACAAATTAGATCCTATTGGGAACAATTCAGTCAATTGTGATGGCTAAATTTATCAATTCATGAATAGTTGCATAAATTATGCATCATAATGACGGGTCTAGTTGAACGATCCGCGTTAATGAACAATTATCTTTTAATTAACGACAACAGCATAAAGTAACTTGATTCCGAATACGAGTGAAAATTAAATTGAATTAAAACATTAAAAGAATTTATCAAGTTGATTAAATTAACATTTAAATTTTTTTTTTCTAATTAGTAATACTTTTAGCAAAGAATATATAAATAAAATTTCTTCATTATAAATTAAAAAAAATATTTAAAAAATGCAAAATTATAATTTTTATTATTATAGCTAGATTAGGAATTAAAATTATAGTTGAGGAAGTAAAAGACAATTTGTTTGATATAATATATAATATCTTATATATATATATTTTTATATATACATTTAATATTTGAATTAGAATATATTCTGCTTGAAACTGCCTGATGATTGCATCACTTTGATTCACCTCCCTTTACCGTATTTCTCTCGCCACTTCTGCATTTAATTGCCGAAACTTTAAGGACTCCACAATTCAAGGAGGCCGAAGATTTATTGGATTATAAATTCCAATTCCCTCACTTGGATGAAGCTAAACTTGAGATTATAGTATCTCAAACTTTATGTTAAAATATTCAGAAAAGTTTTTTTAAAATCAGAAAAAAAAATATTTTTTAATTTAAGAAAAATTTATTTCAATCAAAACTAAGTTTTTAAATTAAAACAAATATTTTTGTTTATTTTAAAGAATTATTTTCGTTTGGAATTTCTTTGATGCAAAAAATATTTTTCTTAATTTAGATAAAAGATTTCTTTGTATTAAAAAAATATTTTCCAAACGAAAATTCTTTTCTCTATAAAAGAAATCTTTTTTTGTTTTGTAAAAAAAATTCCCTTTATATGTGGGAACAAGAATTTAAGATTATGCAGAGGGGGTAATAATCAGGAATTTTGTAACTCGAAAAAGCAAAATATTGTAATTTTTATTAAAACCTGGAATTATATTTATAGGTTAAAAATCAAATTCTATAAAAAAAACAAATCAAAAACTAAATAATTTATAAAGATAAGTGAAATAATATTAATTAATTTATTTAAAATTATAATTGCAAAGTATTTTAAAGCCGTGACGAATTTGGAATTATTTCTCTTTATACCTGCGCATCCCGTGCTGAATGTTTACATTCAAGTACAATAGGGGACCATAAAACAAAGGTCGTAACAATGCTAATGGAAAATCTCAAAAATAATTCGTGTCAGTTGCAATTCGTATATTGACAAAGTGAATATAAATTTTTTGAATTTATTTAAATTTAAATTTTCTTATTTTTGTTATAAATAACTAGTTTCGGAAGTGTTCAGATTTTTTTAATTCACGATCGAAAAAACGTTAAAAGTGTTAAAATATTTTTCGTTAATTAGATAAATTTATTGTTTCGAAATTGTTCAAAAATTTTTAAATCGCTTGTGTTTCTGGCAAATATCGTCAAAAATACCGATTGCAGGTGAGAATTATAATATAAATAAAACAAAAATATAAAGGAATTTTTTTTAAGGAAAATCAAATAAATTTATTTTCATAAATTGTAACGTAGATTTAATTTAAAAAGTAAGTTATTTTAATTTATTTGAAAAGAAAATCAACATTTCTTATTTGAATTATAAACGTGTGAAGAATTATAAACAAGAGAAGAAATTTAAAATTATCAAGAAACAACAGTTTATATTTGTTATTTACGGTTTCAAGGGGAAAGGGGTAAGAAGGTCATAAAATGTTATTTTAATACCTTTCTTGTGAAAGTCCTTTACAGAGTCTCTACTTTATAACTTTTTCCAAAGAAAAAAGAAACTGTGTAAATTTTACCAGGATTTATTTCACAATGTTGAGAAATGCATTTTTTTTCGCAAATAACAATGCAAGAGCCATTATTTTTTTATGATATTATTTTTTAAATGCTTTTGTCGAAAAAAAACGTTCATTGTAAGTAATAATTTTTAACAACGAAATTAAAAAATAACTAAAAACTGTGAATTTAAAAAATACTTAAATAAGTATAAAAAAAATAATAAAATTTATTAGAATAGAACATAAATTTTCGATACTTTTATACTAAAAAGATTTATTAGATTTAATTAATCAATATTACTTGACTATTATCAAATAAATATTTATTTTTATTTATTTATTTGTATTAAATAATTATTGTTTGATTAAATAGTATTTATTTCAATTAAATATTTGTTTCAAATACAGAAATTATTGATTTAAATGAAAATTATTTGGCTCAAATAAATATATATTTATTTTGATAATAGTCAAATAACCGATTATTTGAATCGAATAATTTTTTTTTTAGTGTATAACATATCGATTGTTTGAATCAAATAAATTTTTTTCAGTCTATAACATATTTAAATAGACTAACTGGGAACCAATGCCTACTTTGAGTCTAATGAACGCCACACATGACACGAGAGAGGGTCATTTCACGAGCAATTAATTTGCAGCTTCTCTTTGACAGCAAATTTCAAGTCATTAAGTATTGCAAAGCTTTCAGAACGAAACTAACATTTCCATTAATCGTACAAAAATTTAAATATCTTCAAAATTATATATCTCATATTTATTTTTTTATTCAAAATGAATATATTAAAAAATAAAAAAAAATTTATTTGATTTCTTAAACCAAATAATTTTTTTGTATTATAATTATTCAAAAAACAAAATTTGTTTTCCAGTGTAAAAATATAAATTATATATTGAAAATTATTTGACAGAATTTATTTAAATCAAATAAATTTTGTTTCCGTATTTACCATTTTTGTTTTTTTACGTGGAAAGAAAAAAATATTTTTTTGAAAATAATATAAATTTTTAATAACCAATTTTGTGTTCGCAGGAGCTTAGAAAACAATGTCAAGACTTTGCCACTGCCTTACTGGACCACACGAGAAGTTCACGGGAACTTGAAATCCTTTTGAATCACGATGCAAAGGGGCCTACTTATGAGCATGGGGAAAGGATGCACCTGAGTCGACTTAAGTTAGCTATTAAACTTCGTCAGAAAAAGGTAACCGAGTTTGTTTATTTTTTGTTTCAAGTTTTCTTTTTTAATTAATATTCATTATTAGATCTTCATTAAAAAGAAAAATTGAATCTTGTTGATTAAATATTTTTTCTTTAATCCACGCAATTTTATCGTAAACTCTCGATCAAATAAGAAACTCATTTTCCAAGTCGATTTAAAGTATGTTTAAAATTTTGATTTACGCTCAGGCTTCGCTGATCGTAAATTCAATAAAACTTGTACAATTTACTAGTAAATTCTTAATATACTTTATATATAAAATGCACTTTATCCAGCAGTTTCTTAATTGAATTTTGTACGAAAAGTGTACGTAATGAGTTTACGTTAACTGGCAATCTTCTTTGCTGACAATGATAAGGAGAGTTTTTCTTTTCCCTCTACATAAGAATTATCGGAGAATTATTAAGATTATTCTCTAATTATTAAAATTTATTTAATAAATTTATTTATTATTTAAATTTCAAAAATAGGAAATTTTTTGTTTTGATTAATTTTTTTGTAATAAAATTTTGTTTCTGTATTTATTTCAGTTCGTCGCGCATCCAAATGTTCAGCAATTGTTGGCATCGATTTGGTACGAGGGCCTTCCGGGCTTTCGAAGGAAGAATATGTTTCTTCAGGCTGTGCAAATCGTCCGTATTGGAATGTTCTTTCCACTATATAGTGTGGCCTATATAATAGCCCCTCACAGCACTATCGGTCTAACCATGAGGAAGCCGTTCATCAAATTTATCTGCCACTCTGCTTCCTATTTTACATTTTTATGTAAGTTGTCATATCTTTTTCAAAAACAAAATTTTTTTTTTTTTTAAACTAAAAATGACACTAATCTTATATTTTTTGCCTCAGGAATAAAAGATTTTCTTTTTTTTTCCATAACACAAATCTTATATTTTTTTTCCACAGGAGAATTTTTCATAACTATTATTGCCTCAGGAAAAAAAGTTCCCACAGTCTGAAAAAAAAATTACATAAAATTTTTACTATCAATTTAAACTTTTTTTAAAAAAAAAAACTAATTTAAAACTTTGAATTTTTTTCTAATCGAAATAAATTTTGTTCAATTGTAAAAATTTTTCCAATTAAAATAGTTTGTCTTTAAAAAAAAAATAATTATAACAAAATTTTTTAAATTGGAAAACTATTTTAATTTACATTTTTTTAATTTCTTTTTATTTTTTTAATTTCGATGCAAATTTTATGAATTTTCATAATTTGAAATTTTATCACGTCTATTTAAATTACACTTAAACTTTTTATTATATAAAAAATGGGACATATAGTGTGAATTTAAAAAAAAAAATTCCATTTTGACATGCGAGGCACTTTAATGGGAGGCTATTAAGTTCCGGGTGTATGTGTTTTAATGTAAAAGCTGTGGAAAATGTCCTCGCTGTCTCTCAATTTCTCGAAATTGTACACCTGAAAAAAAATTTTTTTTTTCTTTTTTTCTTTACAGTCATGTTAATTTTAGCCAGTCAGAGGATTGAAAGTGTAATTGGAAATTGGATGGGAAATGTATTTCCTTCCGAGGAACACGATCCAACGCCAACTAAACGAGGAGCTGCTCCCACAATAGTCGAATGGTCAGAAAATCATTTATTTCTCCATAAAAATCAATTTTTTTTATTTGAAATTTTAGATATTATTTAAAAAATAATTAAAATAATGATAATAAATAAATAATAGTAAAAATAATAATAATAAATTTAAAAATAATATAATAATAAAATTCTAATATGGTATTAATTAATGCCATTAATTAGAATTGTATTATTAAATTATTAAATGGGACAAAAGAGAATCTTAATTATTAAAATAATAATAATAATAAATATTCTAATTAATACTTTTTGAATGAATATTATTATATTTTATTATATTTATTTTTTTTAAATAATTTTTTTTTTAATAAAAAAAAATTATTAATATTTTATTGGGAAGATTGATGGGACAATTTTTGATGTATTGCATCGAGTGAATGTGTATAATTTTAGTTGAGCTTTCTCTCATCTCCTGATGTCATAAATGTGCAGGTTAATATTGGCCTGGGTTTCCGGACTGATTTGGTCGGAGGTAAAGCAATTGTGGGACGTGGGCCTTGAAGAGTACGTGAACGACATGTGGAATGTGATCGACTTTGTAACGAACTCGTTGTACGTGGCAACCGTTGCATTGAGGGTGGTCGCTTACTATAGGGTACAAAAAGAAAATGAGGGTCGTGAAGCTGGATCCATCATAGAACTTCAACGAGAAGATTGGGACACTTGGGATCCAATGCTTATATCCGAAGGACTTTTTTCAGCTGCCAATATATTCAGGTTTTTTATTTACATATTAATTTTTTTTTATTTATCTCTTTTTGTATATAAATAATTTTCAAAATTAATTTTTAATTCAATATTAAATATTAACAATTTCATATGTATATTACTAAATTTTACTGGAATCATTAATTATATAATTAATTTAATGCTTAATTTTATTTTCAATAACATTATTATTTATATAATTAATTTGATGATTAATTTCATTCTCAATGACATTAATTATATAATTAATTTGATGATTAATTTAATTTTCATTGACATTATCAATTACATAATTAATTTTATAATGAATTCCATGACATTATTAATTACGTAATTAATTTACATTATTAAAATACACTGGCACCTCGGTTATTGAGATACGAATAAATCGTTTTTTGTGTAATTAATTACATTTTATTTTATTATTACATTACTAACATAACTAATTACATCACTTATTACATAATTAATTAACATTATTAAAATACACTATAACCTTTGTTGTTTAATCGAAACGTTTTCTGTGCAATTAATTACATACTTAATTTCCTGACTAATTATAATTATAATTTTCATAATTAAAATACACTGGAACCTCGATTATTGAGACACGAGCGATTCTTTACCTACTGTCTTAATAACTAAAGTTCCACTGTAATGTTTATTAAATTTTTTTAAAAATCTTAAAATTCATTTATATAAATAAAATTAAAATTTATTTATATGAATAAAATTAAAATTTATTTATATAAGGGTGATTCTCTCAAAAAGGACAAATTACGCTTTTAAGATATTTTGTTAAAAAATATGAAAATTAATTGAAATTATTTAAAATTCTGTCAGCCATACGTTAGGGTTTAACAATTTTCAATCGGACCACTAAAGAAAATTTTAAAAAAAGGTAAAATAACTGAAATATTGAATAAAAACTGATGTTACGGAATGGAGTTACGGAATGGAGTTTTAACACTAGTTTTCATTCAATAATTCAGTTGTTTGCCATTTTTTTGAAATTTTCTTTAGTGATCCCATAAAAATTTGTTGAATTTTATCGTATGGCTGGGAGAATGTTTATTAATTGAAATTAATGTTATTATTTTTTAACAAAAACCTCGTCCAAAATTGTGCACAAATAATTTGTTCTTTTTGAGAGAATCACCCATAAATAAAATTAAAATTTAAAAAAAAATTAAAATTCTACCATTATTTTTGAATGCAGTTCATTGAAGTTGGTGTACATTTTTTCTGTGAATCCACATTTGGGACCGTTACAAGTTTCTCTATCGCGAATGGTGATGGATATTATGAAATTCTTCTTTCTCTACGTTTTGGTCCTGTTTGCTTTCTCTTGTGGTTAGTGTGAATTTTTTTTTCTATCTATTTTTAAATACTTTGATCAATTTTTTTTTTTTTGAAAATATTAAAATATTGATAAAAAATAAAAATAACTATGGTTCATAGAATGTAATTGGAATTTTTAGGACTCAATCAACTTTTATGGTACTATGCGGATTTGGAGAAGAAAAAGTGTCCCACTGCCTCGGCTTATCCTCAGAATGCAAATGTAACCAATATGGATCCAAATGCATGCATCGTATGGCGCAGATTTGCAAAGTATGTTTTTATCAAAATTTTTTACATATTATTTCATTTTTCATCTGGAAATGGAAATTTTAATATTATACCCCTTCTGTTTAGGTAAAGAAAATTTTACCGAATTTCGATAATTTTTAATTGATTACGAAATAATTTTCGTAAAATTTTTATTTAGAAGATATATTTTATTTTTTTTATAAAAAAAAATTTATTCACATGATGAACAATCACATGAACTTTTTGTGAATCTATTTTAAATACTATTTGTGAGTGTAATCTGGGGTTTTTTTTTTATTTGCTATGTGTGCAATTCAATTTAGTAGAATTTGATGATCAATCAAATGTACATATAGAGATCAAAGGAAAATTTACGTCGAGACATTTATTTCAATATATTTTCAATTTTCACTCAAGGACAATTAAACAAATTGAAATAGAAAAAACTATTTAAAAATTCTAATTTTTTTACTTTACAAATAGTAAAAATTTTAATTTTCTGTAATTTTAGTATCAGTATTAAAAAAAACAATTTTAGTTAGGCGGAAACATCAAAAAAAATATTATCAGTAGTAATAGATAGTTTTAGTCAGGCAGAATAATTTAATTTATTGTATTTTTATTTTCAGCAGTAAAATAAGTTTTAGTAGTAAAAATAAATATTGGTCAGACATAATCATTTTACATTTGTTATCAATGGTAGAAAAAGCTGTAACTTTATAAATTTAATTTCCTTTGTAGCAGTGAAATATATTTTTTTCCTCAATCTTGTTTTTAAAAATAAATTTTTGTAACAGTTTGTTCGAGACGATACAAACGCTTTTTTGGGCTGTATTCGGATTGGTGGACCTTGAGAGCTTCGAATTGGATGGTATCAAAATATTCACTCGATTTTGGGGAATGCTCATGTTTGGCACCTACTCTGTTATTAATATTGTCGTTTTATTGAATCTTTTAATCGCCATGATGAATCACTCCTATCAATTAATTTCGGTAATAGTTTTCACAAATATATTTTAAAAATTTTTTTATTTTTGATAATTTTTATTTATTTATTTCGATATACTAAATTTTATATACAATTTTTTTTTCAAACTTTTTGTTTTTAACTTTAATTTATTTTTAAATGAATTTTAAAAATTAAGATAAATAATTTTTTCTTTAAAAATTAATGTGACGAAAAATTTTTTTTCGAAAAGGAACGCGCTGATATTGAATGGAAATTTGCGAGGAGTAAATTATGGATAAGTTATTTTGAAGAAGGTGGAACAGTACCACCACCATTCAATATTATACCAACACCAAAAAGTGCCGGTTATGTTTTAATGTGGATTTATCGAAAAGTATGTGGACATAGTAGAGCAGCAAAAAAGGAGCATATGCGTACAATTAGGGTGAGTTTTCTTTTTTCATTTTCCTTTTTGTGTTTTGAAAAAAAAAAAATAAGGAAAAAAAAAACAAAAAGAAAAAAAGAAGAAATAATAAACCATGGAAGAAAGTGATCGGACAAATTTTTCTTTCAGAACAGAAAAAACATATGGAAAATTCTAGGGATTACAGATTTCATCACAGGAGCAATTCTATTTTTCCAGAGAAAACAGAAGCAGGCGTCGGAGCGTGATTTCCGGTATCAACAAATAATGAGGAATCTTGTAAGACGTTACGTGACAGTCGAACAAAGAAGAACTGAGGGTGAAGGTGTCACTGAGGATGATGTCAATGAAATCAAACAGGACATTAGCGCATTTCGTTGTGAGCTTATCGAGATTTTGAAAAATTCTGGAATGAATACATCAACTGCCTCGGGGGCGACTGGTGAGATTTTTTTTTTTTCAAAAATATTTTATTTGGAAAATAATTTTTTATAAAATATTAAAAATTATTTCTATACACAGAGAGAAATTTTTGTTATATGTAGAAAAATTATATAAATACAAATGATAAAATAATACTTAAAATAATATTCCAAATAAATTTTTGGTAAATTTTTATTTGCACCAAAAGAAAATTTATATTTTTCTCTCTGAGTGTATTAATCGAATTATATAATTTCTTTTTCTGCACATATTTTTTAATGTAGATTATTATATTTTTTTAATCCAAAAAACAATTATTTGTGCAAATAATTATTATTATTTAATTATAATTTCTCTGTAATCCAATTCTTTTTTGTTATTGTATAGTTTATTTTCAGTTTTCCCCGTTGTGGTTTTTTTTCTGTTTGTTTCTTTTGATATAGTAGACGGTAGCGTGAAAGAGTTGTCCATAGGTGCTGGTGGTAAGAAAAATCGTCAAAAAGAAAGAAGACTGATGAAGGGTTTTAATATTGCTCCACAACCATCGGGCAGTGGACAATTACCGCCAGTTGCTGAATTCACTGCATCATTGGAACATTCACACGATGAACAATCACATGAACTATTTGGCAGTACATTGAGCGGTATATTTGGTTCGAGTATCGCGCCAAAAAGACATCATCACATCAGTACAAATAGTGTACCGGGACTTGCCACTGGAACAAGAAATAATCGCGAGTCAAGAAGTGATTCGAAAAAACGTCGCTGGGGAACAATTATTGAAGCTGCCAAAGCCGGTAGAGTCTCCAGGCTAATTGGTAGAGGATATTTTAGATTTTTTAGTGATAAAACCGACAAATAGTTGCAAAAAAAAAAAAATTGCTCAATTATTTTTTTTTGCAACTATTTGTAGGTTTTTTGTTTGATTGTTGTTTTGTAATATTTTTTGAATATTTTTAAAAATTTGCATGATTTTTTTCTCGGTTTTGTATTTTTTTTAATTATATTTAATGTTTTTAGCATGATGTATCGCTTTTTTAAATTTTTGTCTATTTTTGTTTTGTAATATTTTTAAAAATCATATTTTTTTAAAATTTTGAATGATTTATCGCTTTTTTTTAATTTTTGTTTTCTTTTTTATTAATGTACTATTTTTTATAGCAACTTTTGTTAATAGATAAAATTGTCTTTGCTTTCTTTTTCTCAGTGAATATTATTTAGCATTCTTAAATATTATTTTATCTTGTTTATCAATAGTGAATAATTAGAAAAACAGAATTTAGTTAGCACGAACTAGAAATTGACAAATATTCTTCCAATTCTGCATTCAATGGTAAAATAGTTAATATTTTCTCTAATTGCAACCATTATTACTGTTTTTTTTATAAAAATTATTTTTCATAAAAAAAATTCACTACAGGAAGATCACGTTCGGAGGATTCGGTATATTCTCCAGGATCAGATGAAGGTGGATCAAGATCGGAGGGATCGTCGGATTCAAAGTCTTCCTTGGATGCACCATCGCAGGATTCACATCCACATCATCCACATCATATGCATCATTCGTCACAACAACAAGAGAGCCACCACGTGTTCGGACATGGACTTGGTCCTGCTTTTGCCGCATTAAAAAAGAAGCGAAAAAAATTTTCCACCTCACGTTCATCAACGCCATCGGTGTCAAGTACAACGACACCAGTTGAAAGTGTTGTACAACCAATTGCCTCAGTTTTGGCATCGAGAATATCACGATTGCAATTGCAACGAGCAAGCAGTGTACCCACTCGAAGTCCCGATCTTGCAATGCAATCGATTCCAACGCGAAGTCACGAGGTCACACAGAGTCAGCAACCGAGTCTCGATACTGCCGAGTCATTTAATCCAAATGATCAAGGTACATATATATTGGATCATTAATTTTTTTCCACCCTCTTCAAAATTTTTTTCTCCTTTTTTTGATAATTAAGATGGAATGAAAATAACGGATAATTAAAATTTAAACATAAATTAATATTAAATTTCTATTATTATTAATAATTTATTAATATTAATAATAATTTTTCTTCTTTATTCATAAACTTTTATTAATTTCATTTTTAAATAAGATTGACATATTTGGTTTAGAAATGTTGAAGATGAGATGTTAATTGGACTAAAATATTAAAAAGGAAAATCTATTTCGTGCCAGTGGCATATTCCTCTCGTCCTAAGACATTTAATTTCCGTCGAGAGGAATATTTAATTAAACCGAGGTAGTGAATTAGCTTATAAGTCCCTTGTGTTTGTCATTTTAACGAAACATTCATACATAGTGAATTAATTATATAGAACATTAAAATTCTACATATTGTAAAGTTGTGTGTTTTCATTCCTCAAAATTACACTCAACGAATTTTTGATAATTATCTCCGTTGGCGTATGAGATAATTAAAAAAGAACAAAAAAAATCCAATTAGCATATGATTTGAATCTTCAATTCTGATTATTTTAATTCAAAACAATTTAAATTATTATTAATTTTTTTTTTTAATTTAAATTAAAAGTAGATATGAGAATTTTTTTTTCTTAAATTAAAATTGTAATATTTTTTTTTTGAAATGAATATTTTTTTTTTGGGGTGATTTTAGGTATGTCAGTTAGCGCGATTCCGTTAACACCATCGACAACTGAGGAGAGTGTTGTCACATCGGGTAATTTATCATCAACGGGGCTCAATAAGAAAAATGGCTCAGCAACACAACTACAACGTATATTGCCAGGCATCGATCCTATTGCTGGACATGACACAACATCCGGTTGGCTTTGATGGCGGTACGAGAACATTAAATCTTCATATCGCTCTCGAGGCTAATCATCAATAAACACACATATATACCTACATATATATATATATTCTCCAGTTGACCCTGTGTGGCTATCAAAATGTGGTGAGAAAATTTCTAATAGGTTGCGGGTGGGGGAGGGAGGGGGGTGAATATTGAACCTTTCTCCATCCCCTCGCCATCATCAATAGACGCACAATGATGCCTTCGTGACAACGTGCGCTTCGTGACTGCGCTGTCTATCAAATTACCAAAAAAAAAAATCTCTAGTCTTACTCTTTTAATCTCGACTAAATATTGACTCTTTTTAAAACGATTTTTCTTGTCTTTACTGAAAATTTATCCTTATTATCAAAAATTGACGATTTTCCATGTTTTTTTTAGACATTTTTTTTTGCAGTTATTCAGTCAAACGAGATTTTGGGATTTTTTTCGAAATTATTCAAATCGCGACTTCCGGATGAGATTATAGTTCTGCAATCGATCCATAGGATACAGAACGAATTTCAAGGTTTGGAAATTTTATTTATGAATAGTAATTTAGATAATTAATTCGGAAATCAAATTTTTAATTTCATATTTATTACTAATAACTCAATAATTAAAATTCGGTGAAATTTTTATAGTTTTAGAAAATTCCATTCAAAAATCATGAAATAATTTTTTCATCGTAATTTTAAAAATAAAATCAAAAATTTATCCTGATTAATCAAAAAAAAACTTGTTGCATAAATGTCGTATATAAATTATATATATAATTATAAAACCACGATAAAAAAAAAGAGGGAAAATTTACAAAATTTCTTCAAGTTATTGTGGATTTGTGATAATATTCGTATTTAAGATCGGGTATTATTTTTCTTCAAAGAAAGAAATCTTTTCAAATTTCCGTAGAATTTTCCAAATTTCCGCAGAATTTTTCGCAAAAAATGTTTTTTTTTCTTCTAAATTTTACCAAAAAAAAAAAAAAAATGCAAACTGCAGAATAAATAAATTCTGTAAATCGTATATTATATAACATTGTAAAATATTACACAGTAATAAATATATATAGATAACTTGATACTGCCACAAGGGGAATGTCGCTTAGACCGATAGAAAATGAGAACAATAGAGCAATTTCCAAAAAAAAAAAAAAAAAAAAATGCTCCAACGATAAGTGAAATAAACGCAAAAAAGCGATAAATATACTCGATTATAGGCCTATTATATATATACGATAATTATTATACATTTCATTTGACTAAAATTTTTTAAAATAATATATAAATATTTCTTCACTTCTTATAAATGATAAAAAGAAACTCTCAAATCTTCTTCAAGGTAATATCGACAAATACTTTTGATAGTATTTAGAAAATAATCTCCTGTTTTATTTTGTACTTTTTAAGTTTCTGAATTATTCAAGCTTTACGCGAGTTTTAGAAATTTAGATTAGAAAAATCGTTTTCTGTGATTTTTTTTTAATTTAGTATTTTATGATTTTTTATTCTTTTCTGTGATTTTTTTTAATACTTTCTCTACTTTTTAATCATTTTTCACAATTTTTTTTATTTTCAATAATTTCCCACGATTTTCAGAAAAATATATCTTTTTCGTTCATTTAAATCTTAGATAAAAAAAAAGATTCTTCATAAATCGTGACATTTGCAATTGAATTTTTTTCTATTCTATTTACTTCGCCTCTAATTTTATTTCTAACACTCTCTTATGAAATTTAATCACTCTCATAATTATGAAGTTCTCTATTCTAGATCCTCTTTCTCTCTTTCTCTCTCTCCTTCACTAACATATAATATTTCAATATGGATTTTTAGCTTAAAACCAATTTTTGAAAATTATACTTATTGCTTCGCAGAAACATGAAAAAAAAAATTCTTAATCTATATATGTATACTGATTGTAACTAATAAAAAAAAAGAAGGGTATATTTGAAAAATTGATTTGGAGCAATTTGTAAAATACATTTAAATTAATTTTGTAAATCGAGAGAATACGAGAGTTTATGATATATATTATAAATATATATAGCGTTATAGAAGAAGTTAGAGAGAAAAAAAATGCTTCTTTGTCGTATAAAAGAGAATTTAAAAAAAAAGTAAATTCGATAAATAAAATCTCATTGACCAAACGTCTTATAAGACAAAATGTAGAAATAATCCATTAGGTGTAAGAGAATCAAAGCAGCTTTCGAAAAAAATATTAAAGAATTATCCGTGAAAATATGTATTTAATAGTCAATAGATTATTTTTTCAAAGTTAAGATTATTTTTTTATAAACAACAACAAAAACGTAAATTATTTATTTAGAAAAATTAAGAGTTTATATTGTAGGAAATATATACAAATGCCATATTTTTTAATTCTTTTGGTATTTTTTTCGTTTAAAACTGTGTGCACCTAATGAGATTAAATTAAGATAAAAAAAAAGAAATATTAATATTCATCTCTTAAAAAAAATACAAGAGTTTAACATGATACGCTGTTTGGGATCACAAATTTAAAAAAAAATCAAAACTGATATCAGCGAATATAAATCGAAATCATTTGGTCCCAACAGAGTCATTTAAATGTAAGCGTTAAGATATTATAAATGTAAATATAAATTAATTATTATTTTACACCTGAATGTGAACAGAAAAAAAAAAAAAAGAATTCCTTTCTTATATAGGTGAAAAATATTTTAAATTGTATAGTCGTATATTTCACAAAAATTTTTTTAATTTAAAAACATTATTTATTTATTTTCTCCAAAGAAAGCAAAAAAAATATTTCTATGAAAGCTGCGAAATGAAATCACTATTTTTTTTTTTAGTATGTATAGTTTATTTTGATACATGACAATATATTTAATTTAAATAATTGTTTTATTGTCGCAGAAATGAAAGTTGTTTTTTTTTCTCATACTCCGGATATTTGAATGGGAAATAATGTAATATTGGTGCGGGTCATCGATGCGTTTTAATACAAATATATATATAAACATAAATATATATATTGTAACTCTATATATATTTCGTCAGTCAGTGAATCGAGAAAATATTATCGAAAATGCAATATTAATAAAAAGTCTGGAAATTTACACAATTTTCGTTTTTCCATAATCGTTATAAACTTTTAACGATTCTCGCAAAAAAAAAAAAAAAAAATACAATACTCTTAAAAAATATATTTAAATATTGATACATTTGATATTTATTTATATATTTTATAATATTGTTTTTTTAGTCAATGTATACTAATAATTTATTTCATTTTATATTATTTTTTATCAAAAATCGTTTATTAAATAAAGCAAAAAAAAAAAAAAAAATCATTTTTAATCTACATTTTTAAAACAAAATTTATAAAAGTAAAAAATATCTCAGCCTCTATTGGTTTCGACTTTTGATCGATTTTTTACAATTTCTTTTTGTAACGTTTTTTTAAAATATTTTTCTTTTTTTAATTGTTATTCTTTTTTTTAAATGTTTTTTAGTTTTTTATTCGTCACAAGGTGCAAGACTACAACGTGCTTTTCGCTGCAATTTTTTGGGACAAGGAGCACCTCCATTTTCAGGTTGACGCTAAAAAATAAAGGTATAATTTTAATTCAGTTGAAAAAAAAAAAATTTTAGTAAATTTTTTTATGATTTTTAAAATGTAAAAAATGTCATGCCTTGATAAATCTCGAACTGTAAACGTAACCATGTCCACAGGAAACATTACAGGTTGACCATGGTGACCAGGGAGAAACCATACAATCAATTTTTGTATTGTTTATATCGTGACTTTGAGAAAAAGGTTCATTTTGTTTCATCAATGGCTGCTGACCAGTGAGAGCTGAACGAACCTAAAATTTTCGACTTTCATTATAATTACAGGTATTATAATTTTTAATTTTTTTTTTAATACTCAAATTCATATATTATTATTAGTGAATCACTTGGTAATTTATTTTTTTTAATATTGTTTAAAAAATATTAAATGTTTAAAAAAAATTGTGCTACTAACAATTTCACAAGTTTTTGTGCATTCATCAGCAGTTGGGAAATTATTTTTATTTCCTCGACAACCTCCGTAAAAGAATGGAACACACATGAGCTTACGTGTATCAAAAGCCCAACGTTCAAAGTGTCCTCTGCATGGACCAATTTCCAATTCTTCCATACAAATAACTAGAAAAAAAAAATTAATTAAAGCAGTGAAAAAATTTATTTTTCTAGTTAATTAATTTTTTTTTGGTAATATTAGCAATTTTGAATAATTTTTTTTTACCTTTGGCAGTTGCCATATCAATGGTACATTCTTCTGCATCCGTACAGGAAATTTGTTGTACAAGTTGAACTTTTGAAGAACATTCTGCATTTAATGAAGTATCACCAGTCAATAATAATCTCATTCTCATTTTTACTCCCTTTCCACAAGTGACACTGCAAGGTGACCAGGTTGACCAGTCTGAAAGCTAAATTTATATTGAATCATTTTATAATTAATTATAATAATTATTAATTAATTAATTAATTTACTAGTAATTATTATATAATTATATTACATTATAATATAATAATAATTATTATAAAAATATTAATAATTATTAATATTAAATATTCTTTTTTTTAGGTGGGGATAAATAAGAATTTAATTACAGGGCACTTGGGATCAAGTTTCTCTTCAGTTCCAGATGCACAATTTGGTTTCATACACTTAGACTTTTCGATAAGTGATATGTGATTGCACTTTTTTCGATTATTTCGATAAATGAGCTTTCTTGTTCTCATTGTTAAGCCAGGACCACAAGATGCTGAGCACTCTGACCAATCAGTCCATTTTGATGTTTCACAATCGGATTCATTAACAGAGAAAGCTTTGTCCTCATTTTCTGCATCGTTCCTAAAAAAAAGGGAATCGATTTTATTTTTAAATGTGATGATTGATGATCGAATTGATGGAAATTTTAGTTTTAGTCAGACGTTATGAGTAAATTAGGAAATCAGTAGAAAAAGTAATAATATTGTAATAATGTTGTTATATCAGTAGTAAAGTTCAGTTTTACTCAGACATTTCGTATTCTAGTGTATCAGTAGTAAAAGGAGGTTTTAGTCAGGCAAATTATTTTTTACTACTCACGGACATTCGCCACTTGTCGCGAGACACATTTCCTTTGAAATCAATTGTCTATTACAACCCATCATTGCAGCTTTTTCCGGTATTCTATAATCTCTTTTTCTCATTCTCAATCCTTTACCGCAAGTCACTGAACACGTTGACCAGGGCGAGTATTCCGTAGTAAGACACTCAGCTTAAAAAAAGAAAACAAATTTTTTTTACCCAAAAAAAGTGCACAAAAAATAAAAAAAGAAAATTAATTCTTATTTTTGAATATAATTATTTTTCATTCATGAATAATTTTTTTCGAAAATAATTATTTTTCATTCAAGAATATTTTTTATTTTCGAAAACAAAAATTTTTCACTCATGAATAATTTTTGTTTTCGAAAATAATTATTTTTCACTCATGAATAATTTTTGTTTTCGAAAATAATTATTTTTCATTTATTAAAAATTTCTTTTTAATTCAATTGAGAAAAATAAAATTAGCATATTAGAAAAAAAAAATGCCACATACGTCTTGATGTGTCTTCTGTATTCTCAGTGACTTCAAATTCAGCAATTTGCTGTTGAAGATCTTGTTCGTCACAACTTTTTGGTACAATAGTTTCTCTATTTAAATAGAGTCTTGCCAATGGTAGCATTGGTTTTCCACTTGGATCATAAAATGGTGATCTAGGATCCTCGGGATAAGATGTTGTGATTGGCTTCATTTTTTCACGTGGCTTAGTTTCTGAATTTGTTGACATATAACTGATACCATTGTCAGTGCCAGCATCCCATGGATAAAGATCAATAATCATACTCTTCACCCATGAGCAATCTTTTTGACAAAGATTCAATTTACTCACACCCACAACCCAATCGGGCGATGGTCCCAACATTGAGGCTACTGACAGTAATGGATGCTTTTTGTCAACTCTTTAAAAAAAATTAATCGAAAAATAATTATTAATTTATAATTTAATAATAATTTAAAAAAAAAATAATATTAATTGCAAAAAAAAATAATTAATATTAATTGAAAATTATTAATTAATATAAATTAAAAATTAATATTAATTGAAAATTAATAATTAATATTTTAATACGATTTAATATAGTAATTATTACATTAATTTCCCTTTTTTTATTTTCTCAAAATTTATGCGAATATTTTTTTTTACTTTTTCAATTAAAACAGTATAAAGTTGTGGGATAAAAAAAGAGAGAGTAAAAAAAAACTAAAACCTGAAATTCGCGGTTGTATTAGTGTTGACATTGGGATACCAAAGTCCAGCAGCCTTGATGTAGGTCCTCAGGTGGCGAGCTTGAGATTTTAATTCGGCTTCCAATCCCGATGCTGAGCCCCATTCAGCGAGTTGACGAAATCCATCGGATGCTGTGTGATCACGACCCCAAAAGGAAAAATTCGTTTCATGTGATGCACCAACCACATCACTGAAATGGGTCAACCATAGTGAAAATGGAAAATCCTTGGGATGTGTATTGTTCGACCAAATTCCCTCCATAATCATCTATTTTTACAATTTTTAGAAAAATTCATTTTTCATTTTAATAACCGATTTTTTTTTTTTTTTTTAAATTGTCTTTTCTAAAAATTTTTCACGCAAAAAAAATTGTGAATGTAATAGAAAAAAAAATTATAATAATACCGAGTATTTTGCTTCATCACAAGCACAGCATCTATTGTCATCTAATTTTTCAACTTCATCTGATGTCATTTCACAAAATGTTTTTGTCAATTCACCATCTTCGGCATACCAATGTGATGAATCTTCGAATATCATTGCCGTAAATACCACACATCCAGAACCTGATGCTGGTGCTCTCCACATCACCTGAATCTATATTATAATTTCATTTTAATGTTAAAAAATAATAATTGTTGAATATATTATTTTTAAAAAAAATTTCCAAACAAAAAAGAAATTGATGGAAAATTAATTTTTTTTTTTCCATTAAATTTTTAGTAGTACTTTATGTATTGAAGAAAAATATATTTCCTGTCGATAAAAAAAATAAACGAAAATATTGAACTCACCTCTGATTTTGAATAGTCAGTTGACTCGGATATTGTATTGATACAATCTTCATTAAATTGAGCAAGCGAATCTGAAAAGAGCTGCAAATATCCAATTCGAGCAGCAGGGTTATTAGGCAAGTGTTGTGAATCGATAGATAGCGTGAAACGTGTAAATTGTTGAAGTCTCTCATGATTGCGAGTCCCTGGAACGTGCAATTTTGCGTGTTCGATTGGAATATACAAAATGGAATATATATTTTTTTCTAAATCAAGATACAATAAATAAAAATAGTGCTCATATACATTTCTATACATTATAAATATATAATATTTATATATTATAAATTAAATTATAAATTGTATTATAAATTATATGGCAAATTATATGGCAAATTATATTATAAATTATATTATGAATTATATTACAAATTATATTATAAATTATATTACAAATTATATTTCAAATTATATTATAAATTATATTATAAATTATATTGTGAATTATATTATGAATTATATTATGAATTATATTATGAATTATATTATAAATTATATTACAAATTATATTACAAATTATATTACAAATTATATTATATAAATTATATTATTAAATATATACCAATGAATAGGTAAATATTAATAATGTATTAATTATTAAAAAATGCTTTTTTTATTATTATTGTTATTTACCTCGTAGGCTAATCGTGTAAACAGCGTTTGGAATGTATTTATCAAAATCTCCACTGAACAAAATACGATAACCACCGTCACCCGGAAGTCGTTGAGAGGAAGCTTCTTCCGAGGATGGACGCATTGGACAACTGGCTTGAACTCCGGCGACGATGAACGTCACCAAAATTAGCCGTAACATTATTTTCAAATTAAAATTGCACTCACCCCTTAAAATAATAAGTTTTAATTAATTATTTATAAAATTTGCATATGCATTAGCTAATTGCAAAAAATTAACCAAAATTCTCAAATTACTTTCAAAAATCTATAAGTTATTTTAAATTACTTTTTTTTATTAAACAAAAATAAAATAGTAAAAAATATTAAAAATAATGAAATATAATGAAATAATTAAATAGTTAATAATAAATAAAAAAAACCAGTAGAATAAACTGACAAAAAATTATATTTGATTCAAATAATCGGTTATACTTGACTATTATCAAATAAATATTTCCTTGAACGAAATAATTTTTATTTGAATCAATTAAATTTTATTTGCCTCAAATATGTACAAAAATTATTGGTTTGAATACAGTTTATTTGATTCAAATAAAAATGATTTGATACCAGGGTCAGAATTTCACAAACGAATCACCTAAAATTCAGAATTTTTTTTTTAGTCTCATTTTTTTTCTCAACGGTTTCTTACACAAAATTGTGTGGGGAATTCAAAAAAAAAATTTAATTTTCTGTAGGACGTCAAGAACACTATTTTTTAATAACATTTTATAAATAAATAATATAAAAATCTATTAAATATGAAATTTTTTCAAAATAAAAATTATATTTAGGAACTACATTTTAAGACGAGAAAAACCCTTTTTTTTAATTGGTGAACAGAAACTCGAGAAAAAAATTTTTTAAAATAAGACGCAAAAAATTTCAATTGTTTATAACTTTAACAAAAAAATTTTTTTTTGATCTAAAAATTTCAGGGACTTATTTTTACAATGTAAGGAGTCAAAAAAAATTATTTTTGATTAAAAAAAAATTTTTGAATTTTAGGTGATCCGTTTGAGAAATTCTGACCCACCATTAAAAAAATTATTTGATGCAAATAAATTTTTATTAAATACAAATAACTATTCATTTATTGATAATAGTTAAGAAACCTTTTATTTAAATGAAATAAATTTTTTTCAGAGTGAGAACAAGAAGAAGGTTTTGAAATAATGAAGGATAAACAATAAATATTAAGGATACAGATTAAGGATAAAAGATAAAAATTAATAAGGCTAAAGGATAAATGAAAAAATATTTTTAAAAAAACCTTTAATTATTTTTCACAATACCGTCATATATATTATTACTGAAATTATTCATGCACAATATATTGCCAGCTATGCACATCATGTTTGTGCATAAGATTTCACTTTAAGTGACAATTGCGCGGAATGAACATAAGAACCGAGTTCTGGTTTCTCACTTATAAAGATTCAATCATGTGTATACATATTGCGTTTATATGTATATATATATATACGTGCCCTTGTCTTCTTTGAGGCACATAGTTGTGTGAAATATGAATATTCGACGTGATAATAATTTGCACAAAGCCTACATATATATGACACTGGGAACGAGGTCAAAACTTTTGCCAACCTTATGTTTAACGGCTCTCGCGATATCGCGAGATCATCGCATTCATAATATTATATACACATATATAGATGTACATTTCTCAAATTGTATCTATGAAAGAATTCACTTACGCTCTTGAACCCGAGGGGAGTTATTCAGAAATGATGAATTTTTTTTCAATTGTGTTCTATAAACTGACTAATCTTAGGAAAAAAATTGTTTTTTTTTCTCGTTTTGATTCAAATAGATATTTATTTGATCTAAATAAACGTTTTGTTTATTTTAATCAATTTTTCGAATAAATACACTGAAAAAAAGTATCATCAAAAAAATATGCTTCTATTTGATTTACTAATTTTCTTAATTCAAGAAAATTTACTTCAAACTAGTCAAATTTTTTTAGATCAAAAAAAATATTGAATCAAATACAGACAAATAAATTGCATCCAGAGAAATGTTTTATTTGAAACAAATATAATATATTTTGTATTGAATAAACGAATATTTGTTAGAAATGAATTTTTTTTCAAATCAAATAAAATATATTTGCAACAAATAAATATTCACTTGGAACAAATAAAAATTTATTTGGAACAAATAACAATTTATTTGCCTCTGAGACAAATATATCTTTTTTCTGAGTGTGGTTTTCTTGATTCAATAATATTTTTTTCCAGTTTAAAGAATTTGATTGAGCCAATTAAACTTTTGGTTGATTCAAACAAAAGTTTGGTTAACTGCATAGCAATGCATTTATTTGGTTGATTCAACAAAAATTTGGTTGTTTCAAATTTTTTATCTGAGTGTTCGTTCAAAAAAAAAATTAATTAGAATAAAACCAAACGTTTATTTAGATCAAAGCAATATTTATTTGAATAAAACAAATTTTTTTTCTTCTTTATTTCTTTTTTCTGTTTTCAAAAATGTTATTTAAAAACAGAAAAGCCATAAAATTACAAAATCAAAAACTTGTATTATACTTTCCCTTTCGTTATTGCTATAGAATTAAATTTTAAACCGCACATATTATTTGCTATTGGTATTTCTTTGTGTTTTGCAATTTATAATAATATATGAAATTATTTATTGTGTATTAGATTTCATTTTTTTTTTCATGACATAGTTCTACAAACTGATTTTAATTACTATACAAACAGTTTTAATTGTCATTTCCTTTTAAACGGGCTATTATTTTTCAATGTCAACAATAAAACACATTACAAATGAAATTTCCCACTGAAAATGTATAGTCACAATAGTATACATATATGTTTACTATTTTTTTCCACTTCCTTTTCTTTGGATATTTCAAAATCCCTGTGGAAATTGAAAAATAGAATAATAATACAGTTTGAAAAAAAGAAGAAAGGAAAAAGAAAGAAAAAAGGAAAAAAAATTAACAAAAAATAGAAAACAAAGAAATAAAAGAAGAAACAAAATTTTATTCACATTATTAAATATATTGATAAATAATTTATAGCCCCCCGGCAATATAAAATACTATAACTATTTAATTATTCCTCTCGGTGATAAATATGTATAATTTCATATAAATATGGAAATGATTATCGATTAGTGAAAATTTATCTTCATTATATTTCAAAAACAATGGGACAAATAAGTTCCATTGTTCTTTAAAATAAATGAAAATTTGTCACTCTCCTTTAAATGTATATATGAAAAAAAAAGAATATAAATGGCAAATTATCCACTTGGGCTTTACTCATTGTTTCAAAGTTGAAATGAGATTCTGATAATGATGCGAGATAGAAATTACAGACCGGAAATAATGCGGCTCGAGACACATCGGTCGTGAGCTCGATAATGATAACATACAGCACTCATTCATACATACATCACTTGAAGAATTCATAAATTCAGGTGAATGACACTAAAAAAAAATTCTTAATTAAAAAAAAATTATTAAAAACAAAAATTTTTTTTTTGATTTTTTTTCTTGAAGAAACTTTTATTGTTTAAAATAACATTTCGATTCTTTTTTAATTGACAAAATTAATTTTTATTAATTTATAAAAATTTTCATAATATTTAATATAAATTTATATTAATTTATATAAATATTTATTGTATTTTTATAATATTATATTATTAATGATTAATACATAATTTAAATTGTAATTAAAAAATAATATATCAAAAATTTTTAAAGAATGAAAATAAAAATGGTGAATTTAGTATTATAATGTTGCATAAACATTTTATTGAGTTGATTTGCATAAATATGATGAAGACAATTTTAAATTAGAATTTATTGCAAATTTATAATTTATATTTAATTTATGCATCAATTGCGGAAGCAATTATATTAACAGTATATAAAGTAAACAAATGTGTAAATAATAAATTTACGGATGATAAATAAAATATATAGATAAAATTTCTTTCAAAATATATATAATATGAGAAAAATAGTTTAAAAAAAAAATATGTACAAATTTCGATCTCTTTTTACCCCCAGAGAATTTTTTCATTCGAAACAAAAATAATTGAATAAAAATAAAAATTTAATATTTATCTCAAAAGGTAAATAAAACTATTTTGTTTCAAATAACAATTTTATTTCTGTGCAAATAAAATGTTTATTTTTGTACAAATAAATTTTTTATTGTATAAATAAAATTTTTATTTTTGTACAAATAAATATTATTTATTTCTGTACAAATAAAATATTTATTTTTATACAAATAAAGTTTTTATTTTTGTACTAATAAAAATTTCGTTAAAATAAAAATTTTGTTTGTACAAATAAAATGTTTATTTGTGTATAAATAAAATTTTTTTTCGTACAAATAAAGTTTTTATTTAAAAAAAAATTTCAAATAAAAATTTTACTTGTACAAATAAGATTTTTATTTTAACGAAATAGTTAAATTTCTTAAGCTTTCGTGACAAATATATAGTTTTTCCTTTATGGGTGTTATCACATTTTTATTTAATCTCAAACTACTGCCTAAAGGTCAAAAGATAAAAATTCTTTGATTCTTATGCATTTTTTTGAAATGTTAAATATTGAATCACAACAAAATATTGTTCTTTTGTTTTGTTTTCTTTTATCAATTCATTAATGAATTTTCCGTGAGAACAATAGTGGCTTCAACTTTTGATAAAATTAATATTTTTTTGTACTAAATTAAAAAAAAACACAATAATATTATAAACTATTTATTATATTCGTAAACCTGATTTTCTTCATGAAATAAAAACAAAATTTAATCCTTGTAATATCACCTAATAAATCACACATTTTTTTTGCACTTTTTAAATCGATGAAAACGAGGGAAAAAATAATATTTTTCCCAACAATGAGAAAATGAATTGTTTATTACAATTTTTTTTTTTTTTTTTTATGAGTTTTGTTTTGCAAAATTTTTGCCAATTATTTTGTGGAATTAAAAAGTAATATAAAATTTATTAATTCCAGATTTGTCGAGAAAAACAAATGCCTTTAAAAAGACTCACCGGTTATGTTAAAATCTCAAACCAAGTTGAGCAAAGCTCGTATAAGACTGACGAGACACGACTAAACGAGATGACGACTTCGAGACCGACTGCTACAGATTGGGAAAGTCTAGTTACTAGTCTATAAGCAAACAAAAATTATATCATCCACGGAAATACATTTTTGCCTTTGAAAAAAATAATTCTATGAAAATTTCTTTTCTATAAGAAGACAATGATGAAGGAAGAAAGGAAGAAAGTCATTTTAGCGTAGAGCAAAATAGAAAAAGACGAAGAAAAGGATTTTTAAAAAATGATATTAATTTAGAATAAAAGAAGAAGAAAAAATCGAAAAAAGTAATTTTTGAAGTGGAAGAAGAGAAAATTTTTTGAATTACATAACAAAAAAAGAAAGGGAATTAAAGAATGTGAAAAAATTGGAAAATGATCATTTCTATAGAGAGAGAAAAAAAATTACATATGTATATATTACATGTGTGTAAATTTAAAAATGAAATTGGAAAATTGCATAAAGCCATAAATGAAGATTGCATACGCGCGTGGTTAGTGGGTAAAGTTTCTCAGAAATATTCGAGGCCACTATCGAGAAATATGAGGTCAACCAAAGGGTCATCAAATATCTCCGACACATTAACTTATTCGTCAAGATAAACGACATAATCGTGAAGAAAATATTGTTTTATAGAAAAAAAAACAAAACTGATATATTTTTACCATAAGAATCTATTAATCTACTTTTCACTCTATTTAACATTTTATCACTAACTTTTATATTTTCAAAATATCCTCCAAAAATTATTTGAAAAGAATTAATTTTTTTTCAGTTCATATAATTTATTGAATTCTTTAAATTACTTCCATATAAAAAAAAATTTCGTTCTTTGTATTCAAATTTTTTTATTAATTAAATTTTATAAATTTTTCCAATTAAAATTTAAATAAAATTAAATATAGTGAAGTTTATATTTTAGTACCTGAAATTAATTTAATTGAAGAAATAATTCTAGTCAATAAATAATTTAAAAAAACAACTAAAGAGATAAATCGATACCTAAATAAAAAATTAATTAATTCATAAATGAAAATTAAAATAGATATGATACAAAATTAAAATGCTATAAAAAATAAAATTAGAAAATTATTTTCAAATAAAATGAAGAGGAATCATTTGAATTTTTACACTTACCTGAAAATGATAAAATAAATAATTGCCTTATCGACAAAAGTTACGGACTCACAAAATGAAACGATAGCTTCTTTACCTGTATTGGAATATTATAGAAAATATTTTATCTTTGAAAGAAAAACAAATATTTTTCTGAACTTTTATATTTAAAAAAAACAACTTTATTAATAATTGTGGTTTATTGTAAAAAAAAATTTTATACTTAAAAAGCCGCGAAAAATCGCGAAACCGTTTAAACAATGTCGCGGTTTTACGGTTTAAATTAAATAGCTCGTGGTTTCGCGGTTTTAAATTTCAAAATTGTTTTTATTTCAATTTTTGAACATTTCTTTAAATTAATTATTTTAATTTAATTTTTTTAATTTAAATTAAATTATTTTAATTTAAATTTAATTTTAATTTATAAATTTAAATTTAAAAAATAACATTGATAAAAAGTTTTTGAAAAATCGCGAATTGCGAACCGTGAAAAAAAATCATAAAACCATAACATTGTTTTTCGCGACATTAAACAATTTAAAGATACAGATTCCCCTTAGATAATTTTAATATAATATTAAAAAATTATGATAATTTTTAATTTCTTAATTCACACTCCATTTGTGAATATAATTGTTTGCAATGAAAACATATTATCTTCTAATTCTGTATATCATTAATTTTCATGTATAGAAAAATTAAAAATATTTTAACTTTCCCCTTGAATTGAAAGTGAAAAATGCGACATAAAAAAAGAAAATTGTTAGTAGGTATTCTTATATATATATATTTTTTTTTTTGTTCTTATTACTATTTTTTAATTAAATCGATTATCAGACACAATTTCAGAAAAAATTTTGGAAACAATTTCTTTTTACTCAGAACATTTGGAATTTTTTTTTAAAATTGAGAATTTTGACATACATTTTTTTTCTCAAAGTATGAAAAAAAATTGATTTCAATTTAATCGGTATTCAAAATTCGTATACATCCTTCCGTTTGGATTACTAAACGTTTGCAATTTATACATTTCACTCTTTTCAGAATAAATATCAAATACTTTGTTATTCCGAAAGTGTAGAAGCTGCGATCGCTCCGATTAGATTAAAATTTGAAAGGCAGAACGTGAAACAATCTCTAATGTTTTTATTTGAATATATAATTTAACTATATAATGAACAATTAATTGACATTGAACTTGTAATTATTAATTTTTTGTTTTTTTAACTATTTTCAATTTTTTTACTTCTTTTTGAAATTTTTCTTTTCTCATATTAATTAATTAATTTCAATTTTTATTTTAAATTATCTGATTTTAAAATCATTTTCAAAAACTGTTATTTTTTTTTAAATGTAAAATTATAAATTTCAAATATAAATGATTATGAAAAATTGTTACATGAAGTAAAATTCATTACAGTAATCTTTTATTCCTATGTACTATTAATTATATTTATAATATATAATGATAATAATAATGATACTTTGCGTTACGCACTAAAAACATTTCGATCGCATATTTTAATCCAGAAATGAAAGTTACAAAAGAATCTTTAATTTATTTTTTAAATTAAATTTACTCTCAAAAATTAAGAATATTCTATTGTCACTCTAAGAGAATTGAAAATTAAAAATTAAAATTAAGAAAAGAAAATTATTAAAATTAAATTAATTTAATGGAAGTCATGAAAAATTATCTTCATAAAGCGCAAAATGAAGAAAGTGCCGCAGTGACATTGAAAATGAAATTGATATTGACCTTGCGATATGGAAAGTATTGAACTTGTCTTCTCTAAAACAATGAAAGTGAAATTCATATTTTTTTTTACAATGAATTTCATAGGAAATTAAATTTTTAAAAAAGAAAAAAAGAAAAGGGTAAAATACTATAATATTTTTGATTTTTAGTAGACAGCAAACACTCTCGGATGACCCACAGCTTTCCCCATAAGTGATGAACTGAATTAGGTTGCTTGTTTCTTTCTCCTTAGAATGGTCAAGTTTTAGCCAATATCCTTCCCGAGTATATATATATATAAATACATACATACAAGTTAGAATTGCTTTTACCTTATTTCATGTGAGAAGGGGTTACTGTAGTATAAAACTAGTAGACAACTTATTTTAGTGTCAGTTGTTGTTAAAGTGTTATTTTCGAAAGACTTTTTTATATAATATAAAGTGTTTTCTTCATTAGATTCAAAATAACAATTTTTTTTCGGAATTATGTTACGAGTAAGTAAATCATTTGGGAAAAAAAATGTAATTACTCCTTTTATTATGCCAATTAATTAAATTAATTCATTTACAATTTAAATAATAATTAAAAATTACAATTGGAAAAAATTTGCATCGAAAAATTTTCTATTTCATTTTTCCAGTTTTTCGATCTTCGGGATTAATGAAATTAATATTTAAATTTTTTATTAAATTTAAATTTAAATTTTTTTAATTTGATTTAAATTTAAAGAAACTAATTTTAGGGGAAAAATAATTTGATAATAAAGTTTTCAATTTTTTTTTTGAAAAACTGGCTCATATTTGCAATTTTTTCATTGTAAATATAAAAACGTTTGCACTAATTAATTAATTTGTTATAATTAGTCACGAATCATCTCAGCAATATAAATTGCTATTTTCAGATTATCGTCCTAATCACAACTTTCATTGTCGTGAATGCTGATTCAACCCTAAGTGGTATGTTACTTTTTTTTAAAATCAAATACGACTAATAATATAAATTAAATTTTGAAATTTTAATTAATTAGTTTATGAACTTTATTAGATGCATAAAAATAATTAATAAAATTATTATCTAATTAATAATATTAGTTAATTTTATTAATTACATGATCCCAATTAATTTAACTATCTACTTAATTATTTAATTCATTATTTGCCTAATCAAGTGAATAATTAATTATCTACTTAATTATAGTATTCATTATTTTACCCAATAAGGTGGCTAATTAATTATCTACCTAATTAATCTGATTAATCATGCACATAATTAATTTGATTAATTATCTACCGAATTAAGGACATTTAATATTAATTAATTAATAAAAATTAATATTAATAAAAAAATTTTGGGAATTGATTTTTTTCAATTAATTAATTATTCTAAATAGAATCATTAAATTTATAAATTGAAAGTGAGATTCTTAAAATGAAAAGAAAATAAACTAAACGCTTATCAATTTATACAGAATATATTTGTTGAATCATATATCTATAATTAATTTCCTTATATACAGAGAATAATGAAGGATTTGAATTTCAAGTTCAATTAGATACACGAGTGAGAGTGAGATAGACAAAGTGTTCCACTTTCTTTGCAAACGCATATAATTAGATGTGACACACATGCTTACTTGTGCGAATTATTAAACACATTTACTATTACAAACTAGCAATTTTTTTTTTTTTTTTAATTTAGTGCTAGATTTTGGATTACTTTCTCTTAATTTAACTTGTCTCTTGTCGGGGAAATTGAGAAAAAATCAACGGAGTAAAGAATTCTTAAATTGTTATTAATTAATAATAATTATTAATTAATCAATTATTAATAATTAATTAATTAATTAATTATAATTCTCATATTATTTTAAAATTACTTGTCCAAATAATGCAAAAAAAATTTATTTTTCTCCTTTTGTTATATTTTCAAATTTTTCTTGATTTTGTAAATAATTTTTCAAAAATATTTTCTAAAAATTTTTTTCATAATTATTATATTATGAATTATAAATAATAATAACTAACAATTATGTGAAAATTCTTTTTTAGTTTTTTAAAAAATATGGAAAGTTTCAAGCCTATGAAACGATATAAAAGTGTTATTACAGCTTAGAATGGCAAAAAAAAAAGAAAAGTAGTTTTTAAAATCTTTCTTTACTTTCTATATTTGTATTTTTATTATTTTTCCTATTTTCACGTCACACATTGCAAAATTTTTAATGAATAAATTTTTATGCGATTTTTTTTTTTGTACTCTTTAGGTTTTTCACCTTCCGATGATGGATTTAAATCATACGATTATGGAAATAGAAATGCGAGAGGATCAACGAAATATTTTCTCGCCAGTTCATCTAGTCCAGGTCATATTAATAGTCTTTCAAATAGCTACCCTTCGACAATTTATTCCGACGCTAGCCAAGGGGAAAGTCTTGCCAGTCAAACGGTTAGAAATTATCAAAATGTAGACAATTCTTTTTTATCAGACGCTCCCACAACAATTAGCAGTTATTCAAGGCAAGTTGAAAAAATTTCCTTTTTTTTTGATTAATGAACAAATATCGAATCAAAATAAAATGTAAATTTAAAAAAGGAAAGATTTTCATTTTCATTTTTTTCTTTAGAGAGAGACCGTACGCTTTATCGAATTCAGATTATAGTACAAGTCAGTCAGATTACGCCGGAAGCAGTAATTCTCAGTCAGGATTCTCTGGAAGAACCGATTATGAAAGTTCCTCACCGGTTAGCGATTATACGGGATCAGCGACTCAACAATTTACCGTCGGTACTAGTTATCGTGGTGGTTCAAGTATCGATAATTATCCAACAAATCAGGATACATCATCCAGCATCCGTGGATATATAAGTCAATCATCATCGCCTACTGCTACCTCTGGTTTTGTAGCAAGTCCCAGTTATCCCGAAACAATTTCCAATAATAATAATAATAATCGACCCCTTTACACCGGAAGTGGATTTAAGGCACTCGATAACACGGGATTTCGCAGTTATTATCCAACAAATTCCTTAGGAACGAGGGAATTTTTAACGAATAACAAACATCGAGGACATGTAATTAGTGGCAAATATCCAATCTATGAGAATGTTAATAATCCCTCAGACGGATTCCAGGGAAATGAAATTGATTATGCGTCAAGTTCGCCGCATATTTATTCCACTGGTAATTATAAACGGGAAAGTTTTAATTCCGTTGCATCACCACTTCATTCAGGATTTTCTGCCTCTGGATTAAATTATCTGTCATCAAATGGTGTGAAGAGTTCGTATCCTTTCGCTGGATCGAAACCACAATCGTTGCTTTATTCTGGACCACAAAAATCATCAGGTAGAAAGAGAATTTTTTTCTATGTATACCTAAAAAAAAAAATTAGTTAATTTCAATTAAGGAAAAAATGAATTAAAAATTTGAAAAATAGCTTACAAAATTTTTTGTGTATAATTTTCAGGACTATTTAGTGGAAATGAAGGAAGAATAATTGTGAGCCAGGCAGGAAATCCAAATTTCTCTTCGTATTCCTCAAATCCAAGTTTTATGACAAAAGGACATGGCTCATATTTATTGGGCAATGGTTCAGGAAAATATATCATAATGAAGGATAATTTATCAGGTAGTTCTCATCTCAGTGGCAGTTCATATCCTCCTGGTGGGCAAATGTCTCCTCTTATTGGTGGTAGTTATAAAACAACAAGAAATGCCGATTTTGGAAGTCCTAGTTTTTCCTATTCTCCAAGTTTTGCCGGTGGATCAAGTCCTTATTCTAACAGTCGTTTTATAACCAGAGGAGGAGGAGGAGGAGGCAGCAGCAATCCTTTTTCAGCTTTCTTGGGTGTATCGTAAATAATTCTGAGCTTTAATTTAATTAAATAAATTAATAATCACAATTATTATTTATTTAATTAAATAAGTGTTTATTTATTAAATTTTATTTAAGTTATTTCTAGCTTGTTGTTTTTATAATTAAAAAAAGCGATAAAATCCAAAAATTTCGTTGATGATTTTATTTTTACTTACCAAAAAAAAAAACGGTATATTATCCTACAATTACGATTGATTTAATTCACGTAAACTTTTCAATTTTGCCGACTGAGGTGGTGTTCTTTGTATTTTCGGTTTTGCGTGAAAAGCTTCTTCTTCCTCTTCTTTTTTTATTGCAGACACTTCTCTGCAAGTGGAAAACAAAAATTATTAAAGATTACTGCTGAAAAAATTGATTTTTATAAAAACAAGAAACCGTATTAGAAAAAATAATAAATTACGAAAATAAAATAATTAAAAAGATTTATTATTTTTTCAAAAAAATTATCGAGAAACAATATTAACGATTTTTTCCCTCGATTTTCTTTCTTTCTTTTTTTTTCTAATTCTTCGGAAAAAATTTCTTGAATTTCACTCACACTGATGCAATGCTGCTTTGATCATTTCGACCTGTAAACATTTATTTATTTATTTATAAAAATAGAATATTAATAAGAATTGAATTAATTGTTTAGGTAAATTTTTAATATTATTATAAAATTGTATTATTTTCTTTATACATATTTTATTCTCCAGATTATTGGAAGTCATGAATCCTGGGGAAAGCGAAAAACTTTCTCCCCAGAACCGCATCACGTATCAACTTGAAAGTTTTTCTTTATAATATTTTTATTATGAAAACAAAAAGTCATGAAAACTGATAATAATGTATATAAGAAAATATTAACAATTACTCAAAGAAGACATTCAGTTATTTTATTTTGAGAAAGTAAAAAGGAAATTTAATAATATTAAATTTCACACTTCGCTTTTTAATGATCTATTTTCATTTAATTTTTAATTAACAACATTTTAATGGTTTCAATTTGTTTTGTCTATAAATTTACTTATTTTTGTTCCCATTTATTACTTGTTTGATTTCTATTTCTAAATTTTTTTCAAATCAATATATTTTATTACCTTCTTGTAAACTTTCAGAAGCAGATGGAAAACTCGATGATGAAGTTATATTCATCTTACTGCTTTCTCTGAAATAAAATTATTTTCATATTAAATTGATTTATATTTAGTAGTTGAAATAATTTAAAAGAATGATAAGTTCTTTTAAAATTTTAATAAAACACACTTGGAAATTTCGGAATATGTTTCATTAGTCATATTAATCTCATAATCAGAATTTGTTTTAATGCTTGATTGATTAGTATTCTTGGAACTATTTGATGTAACAGAAGTTGAATTTTCTTTTGATGTCGAACTTCTTTCGGAATTATTTTTAAAATTTCTTTGAAAATTTGGATTTAATTGTGATAATTCAGAATTAATTGAAAGATTTTGTGGTTTATACAGTGTCTTCACTGGTGAAATATAAGATGTAATACTCGAATTTTTCAATTTAAGGTTTTCCGATGAGGTGATTAAATTCACATTTCTTTGATTTGATAAAAATTCTTGAGGAAATTCTTCTCCCTTGAAATAATTTTCAAAAATAAAAATCATAATTTACTTTTTCAAAATTTTAAATCATAAACTACAAATTTTTGAATTGAAAATTAGTCAAAAATACCTCAATTTGGGATTCACTTCGAAGTAAATCGGCAAAATTTGTGTCATCTAATAATGGGATTGTATTAACGGGTTTCAGTTGAATCTGATTTATCTCGTTCGAAAATCTTTAAAGAAATTGTTTTTGAAAATAAATAAAAGAAATTAAAAATAATAAAGTAAAAAAATAAATATAAAAGTAATTAAATAAATTAATAAACTAAAAATTAACTAAAAATCAACTTTAAATATTTAAAAGAATATTGTCAATTTTTAATACGATAAAATTTATCATTACCTGGGAATTATCTCTCGATGTTGATGAATTTTATGTAATTTAAAATCAGAATTCGGTTTATCTAATTCACTGGATTTTGCAGAAATATAATAAGAAGCCAAAAGCATTTCACCAGCAAGATCTCCAATTTCATTTTGAATTGGATCATCTTCATCCAATTCATCTTCGATGAAATCACAATCGTCCTTTTATGTAAAAGTACAAAATATTTATTTTTCTTTTATCAGCAAAAATATTTCTTTTAAAAAATAATTATTAATAAACAATTTACATCATCATTATCACCAACATCAATTTCTTCAATTTTCTCTTCTCGATTATGAACTCTGATAAGATAATCCAAATAATGCCTAGAAAGGTTTTTTTTTATTAAAAATTACATTACATTTATTATTTTCAAAAAATTACCTTGTTTCGTCCGAAACACGTTTTCGATAATATTTTAAATATGATTCAAGTCCCATTCTCTTGCCTTCTTCATTAATTTGTTGATTTAATAAAAAATTACTTAGAGCTTTACTAATATAGGGTAACGCCTGAAAAAAGATGATTAACATTAATTTAGAAAGAAAAAAAAGAAAATTGTAAGGTAAAAAAATTAAATTAAACATTACAGTTTGATTCTCAGTGAGAAGTAAATCCATTAATGTAGGAAGTACCAAAGAAGCTGAAACTTGAGCACGTGCTTTAATTTGCAAAGATAAATTCATCAATAGAGCTGTGACATATTTAAATCTATAGGGACTCATTTTACAAACTTCAATTTTCAAATGATGTATCAACCATTCAACTAAACCAGTCTCAATCATATTAATTCTTTGCGATTTTCTCAAAGATAATTTTTGCAACATTGCCAGTAACATATCATAAGTGAATGCATCAGGAAATGAATCGTTTCTACCATTTAGACATTCAATTACTGCATTTAATGTTATAGTTCCAATTGACAAATAATCTCGACCACATCTCAGTGAAGCGATAGTATTCAATAATCTCGCTGCTGATTGTTGTAAAATATTAATTGAACCCTCGACAGAATATAAAATATTTGGCAAAATTGCTTTTACACTATTGCCAGCAATATTTCCACGAATTGCCAATAAATCGTTATTTATATATTCATGAAGTACCTCATCCCTTTCGCCTTGTTGACTAAAAGTAATTTTCTAAAATAAATTCGATAAATTCATTTTAAAAACTATTGTTCAAAAATATAGAAATTTTATATTTTAATAAGAAGAATATTTACCCATCTCAATGCCTGAAGAAGTAAAAGTTTAGTCTTTAAATTTCCACAAGAGAGGTGAAATTTAATTTTCCTGAAATCGATCGATTTAGGAGAAAGTACTGTCACATCGAAACAATGATTTATCTTTATTTGATTCGTTTGAAGTTCGTCTTCTGATTTAAATACCTCATCCTGCGAATCGTAAAATAAATTTCTCTTTATTTTGAAAAAAAAAATTTACAATTGTATAAACACTTACATTCGAGTCGGCTTTAAGATTTTTTTGAAATACATCAGGAAAAATTGTAAAACAAGTTTCAAGGACTTGTAACATATCTACTGGATTTCCACTCAATGAATTTTCAAGAGCTTGTGTTAATTGATCAGTGACATGCAATAATTTTTGATGATCCGAGTGTAATTTATGAAAACGTATTTTTAACTTTTGATAATTGCCGTGAACATTTTGGTAACGTGTCATCGTGTAAATTAATTGTTCCTCATATTTTTTCATCGATGATTTTGGACTTTTTAACAAATTTTCAGGATCCAATACCTTTATCGGATAAGATAATTCGTCTATCGCTAATAAAGTCGACGGACTTTTAATTCCTTGAATTCTTGTTTGTGTAGACTGACTGAAAAATATTTATAATCTTTATTAATTAAATTCAAAAAATTGGAAAAGCAACTTTTTTAATATACTAACATTTTTACTTCCATTTTCTGTGAATAGAAAAATTCTCTATTCAAATCGAGTTCTTCAATGAAAAACGGTATATTTTGATCATTGACAATAATTCTTTTTTTATTGTTTCCCAAATCTTCTGTCGATGTTCGACTAAATCGCAAAATATCATTTTCCATTTTTTCTTCTATATTTTTATTTCTTTCATCAACAGAATCTAAATCGAAAGAATTGAGAATTTGTAAATTCTTTTCATATAATTCCAATTGTTCTTTATTCATCGATTCTGTAGTAATTATTGTCGATGTCGTGGAATTTTTCGGCGATGATTTATAATTTTCATCTGGTTGGACTATCTAAAATATAATAATAAAATTATTATCAGTAATAAAAATAATTGAAAATAATTACAAAAATTGTACTTTTACCTCTCCGTGTTTAACGAGAAATATTTTAAGATTAATAGTAAGTTCATCGACCCAATTTTGTGTAAAAATATCAGAAACTGTTGGATCAGTCATTGGATCTTCCAAATACGGTAAACCAAAAAGTTCAATACAAGAATTATAATCCACCGCATCAATTGTTAACAAATATTTCTTTAATTGATTCATACTAGCTTCTCTCTGTGAGTCGTGAGCAGTTTCAACATCCTAAAAATGAAATTACTTTCTTACGAAAAATTTTATTTTTTATAATAATTTTTAAAAATAATTCTAATTGTTTTTCAATTTTTAAATAAATACTTTAAATTATTTATTTCTAATTAGAAACTTACGGGATCGCTGTCGAAACTGTCTTCAGAATTATTTAAATCATCGGATTTTTTAGATGCTGAAAATAAAATAAAAAATGTTCATAAGAACAATTAACTAGTTTTTAAAATTTATTAAATTGAAAATAAAAACTAACTTACATATTTTTGAGCGAACCGGCAAAAAAGCAAAGTGAACTCTTAATTTCAACGTTAGTATTTTATATTCCATAGTCGATTTTATATTTTCAGGAACAAAATCATCCCATAACTGAAAAATTAGACATTCTGTTATTTTTTGTAAAAGAAATTTTTATAAAAAAAAAAATTCTATTCAAAATTTAATATAAAATAGAATATACCTTAAAAAACTTTTTCCAATTTCCTCCATTAAATTGTTCTAAAATATTGACGCATATTTCCTCCGAAATTATTTCATTTTTAATAAAACAATCGTCAAGAAATTTAAATCCCAAACTTTTAGCTTCATTAATTAAAGATTTTGCAGTGCTCTCAAACCCGTGATTTAATATAAACTAAATTTAACAGACAATTAGAATTGAAATAAGATTTAATATATCTAAATTAATTACTCACCTCATAAATTATCTTAATGAGATTATTGTCCAAATTTTCTGTTTTTAAAAGCGTTGTCAAGAAAGAAGTTTTTGATCTAAAAAATAAAAATTCATGAATTATATATATTGTGGATTTAAATTCATTCTATTATTGATTATTTATAATTCATGTTTTTTTTCTATTAATTAATTATACATTCAAGAGGTTATACTTACCCCTGTACAGTGTCTTTACAATTCAAAGATTCTATTTCCAACATTATATTTTATATTAATAAATAAAAATTTGGCGATTTTTATGTATTATAGATGAGAATTTTAAAATATATTTCGAATTGAATCCATAAAATAATATTTATAATCATGGTTTGATATCAAAATCTTCAAGTTTTGACAGCAACTGTCATTCCTAGCAGACATTTGTTTACACTGTCCTTTCTAGCAGACGACATTTTGAGAAAAAAAAATCCTTTCTTTATGGTAACAAATAAAACAAATTAAAATACAATTTATAAAACGGAGAATTATATTTTCTTAACTATTAAGTTTTATTATAAAGTTAAATAAATAAGTTAAGAGAAATAAGATTTTTAAATTCACAATTTTAAAAAATAGCGCCTTATATTTAGTGCCATCTGTCGTTACTCATGTGAAGCACTTCAAGTGCTGAAATTTGACATTTGTTAGTTTGACATTTAAACAATAAATTTATTTACATTTACAGTTTATTCATGTATTTAAGTTTATAACAACTAGAAGAATTTAAAAAATTTAATAAAATTTCAAAAGAGCAATGTAATTTTTAAAAATTTCTTCAATCATTCAACTTTGAATTACAAAATTAAAGAAAAGTTGTTTCGAGGTTAAGTTACTTTATTATTATATAATTTAGTTTTATAAATTAATTCTAACTTGAAAAAAAACTAAAAACAAAGACATTAAATAATAATAAGATTTTCAGACAATTTCAATTAAAATGTTATTAACATTTATTACTGAATAACTAAACCAAAAAGAAAATAATGTTTTTTTTGGAAAACAATAAATACCAAGGACAAATTATCGCAGTTTCTAATAATTAAATGTTTGCTTTACTATATGGGATAAGTGAGAGAAAGTATTGTTTTTTTTTTAGATTTAATCACCAAGGTGTAAAAACTACCAACAAAAATATGGCTTTTTTTTATGGTTGATTTGTTGATAACTACTACTTCGCATGCGTAGTGTAAATTTTGTTTTTAAAAACAGACTTGCTCTTTGTCTTTTACAGAGATCATCAAGTACATAATATAAAGTTTAATTTCAAAAATTAAGTGAATGTAAGTGATAGATTATTTTCTTCAAAAAAAATAATTTCAACAGGAATTTAAAATTATAGAAATTATTTCATTTATGGTTATGTTATCTTCGTGTTCTTGTATATTTGATTCAGGACGAAAAAATGGCCTCCAGAGAACATATGGTAAAGGATGGCGGGCCGTCAGTGCTCACCGTTAAATTCTCTCATGAACATTGTTTCCGTCAATTGTTATTCATCTCCTCGTTTTTCATCGTTTTCACAACTCAATAGTATCAATAAATCGATGAAATTCATTTGTGAATAAAATAAAGTTCGTGGCTGTTCCAACAGTGAAGAAATTTGTGTTGGAGATAGCGCTTAGCGACAAGCAGCAACAGAATTGAGGACGGTGCTGTCAGGTTCGATTTTTTTTTTATATTATAATATGAAAAAAATTATATTTCCACTGTATTACACCCATTTCATTCAAAATAGTCTTGGAAATTTTTCAATTATTTCCCCTCTATTAGAATTTATTTTTAATTATACTTTTAAATCATGTTTACATTTAATTTAAAGATGTTATTATTTTGGAGTAATTAAACGCAAATTAGTTTATACCCAAAACCAGTTTGTTTATTATCTAATATTCAAAATCAATTTTAAATTCAAATATTGTAATTTTATTTCGTATTCGAATATGGTATGTTCCTTTTTTATATAAAATATTTTTAATAAACAAATATAATTTTTAAATAAAATAAAACAAAACATTTTTAATATTCATGTTTGTCATATTTAATTGATTTCATTAAATAGAAAATCTTATTTTATAAATGAAAAAATCGTAAAAGTGAGAAATAATTAAAAATATTGAAACAATTAAAAAAAGGAAAAAAATATTAAGGCAATAAAGAAACAATTAAAAATTGTGTAAGAGACTCACAATTAAAAGTAAAATGACAAATAAGATACAATCATCAGTTAAGTTGAAAGAAAGGAAAAGTAAGAGAAACAAAAATAAAAGTAGTCGCAAGAGAAATAAAAAAAAGTGAACTTCTTCAAATTAGATAGTTGTGGGGCTAATTTAAGGTTTAATTGGTTTAATCGAAACTTCAATTGAAATTTTTTAACTACTTTAAATGAAACTAAATCTACTAATTAGAATTAACTTGTAAATTTTATTTTAGAAAAAAAAGTTTTATTTTACAAAAATGGTTGTAGTTTTAATGTTGAAGGATCTTTTACAATACAGTTTAAATTTTACTTTAAGACACTTTTATTTGTTGCATCATTAATCTAAAATTGTTTTGAAAATAGAAAATAAATTTCCATTGCAAATTTTTTTTTTAAATTATAAAAATATGTATAATTTTTTGATAGAAGAAAGCGAATATTTTAATCAGTGATCGCTTCCTTCGTTGAGAATTTAATTAATAAAAATTTATTTCACTTTAATTAAATTTAATTTTAATTTACAGCGCCATTTGAAAAAATTGAGCGAGAAGTCCAAATCCGAGGAATCGAGAAAGAGCCATGTCTACGAATGGAGAATGGGCTCGATTGCTTCGGTGCTTCAGTGGCATTGCTCGGAGTGCTCTCTGATAAATCCGACCGAAAGCGCGCAATGCGCCAGGTGCGGATTATCCCGAATCCGAAGTGATCAATTTCAAACATGGCATAATCAACCAACAAGCGAATTTCACGCTAATCCACGAAACAATTCCAGAAACGAGTCACGCAACGAAATCTCCTCATCCCGTTCCTCGAGTCCTCCAACACCTCCGCCGCGGCTTCGTAATCCTGGGAATAATTCACTTCCCGAAGTTCCATTGTCCTTGAAGAAGTCGCGGCCACCGATTCCTGCAACACGTCAAATTTCACAAACTTTCCATCCTCTCAGGTAAAATATTTCGATTTAAAAATATATTTAAAAATAAATTTAAAAATAACATTTCAATTATAAGAGAATTATAATTTAAATAATTAATAATTAATAATTTCAGCAAGGAGAGAAAAGAATCAAAGCCCAATGTGATAAAAAAGAGAATACGCAGTCGCTCTTGGTCGGAAACAACGCGTGAGATACGAATTCTCAAGCGTTCATCATCGTTACCATCGCTCGTCACCAAGTGGACCTGTATTCGTTGTCTATTGCGAAATAATCCAACGGCAACGGCAATTTGCACTGCCTGCGATGCAAGCTCATTAATTGAGACTCATGGAAGGCAAATTGGAGCAAGAAAATGCAAAAGACTCGAGCCAAATAAAAATGGCAATAGTCTAAAGCAAACAGGACGTTTGGATCTTGTGACAAAAGTAACAACAGGTCTTGTAACACGTGTTCACGATAGCAGTACAAATACATTAAAAATATCAAGCCGTGACAAATATCAAACACCTTCATTGGAAATGGCACAATTGACCGGTGAAAGAACACGGAATAATCGTGAAGAATGGACATTACCAAACGAGAGAATAGATTCATCATCATCGTACGTTGTTGATAATGTTGATCCCTCTCAACGTTCACCAAAACGTCACAGTCCATCAATGTACGAGAGAGTTAAATCCAAAGTAAGCCGTTCACTTTCAAATGGTTCAGTTGTACAAAAACTCACCGACAATGTTCTATTGCGACCAACAAGTCTTATTGTATCCGAGGCACATCAAGATGACGCCCTATGGAGCTGTGATAATTGTACCTTGAATAATGCTTCCGGTTTGGAGCAATGTGAAGCATGTGATGCGCCACGTAGTCCAGCGCCTTGTAGCGGCGTTGTTATTAGTGTTCCCGTATGGGATACAAGAGCATTATCATCAGCGGGTCCTCTATGCTATCGAAGATCATTCTCGGAAATTGATGCCGTCACAACAAGTATAAGTCAACGAAAAGTTGTGAATCGCAGGAGCCTGAATGATAAGGAACCACCAGAAGTGCCACCACATTCAGCTGCCTTCAATTCTCGACCGAAATATTCATACATTGGAATAACTGATCCCGATATTCCTCCACCATTACCAAAGAAACAAAGCAATAAATTAAATCATCAACGAGCCACATCGCAAGCCGAGGCATCAACAAGTCCCCTCGGTCAATCAACTGCCAATAACAGTCCTTTAAAACGAATGTGGACATGTCGAAAGTGTTCTTATGCCTATAATCCCCTATGGTCGGGTGGTTGTGACATTTGTGGTTCATCACGTTCACCACCATCGTTAACGCAACCGAGTTTAATCACAGTTACAAAAGATAGTGTCAATTCACGACAACAACAACAACAACATTCACCAATTGTTGTCTCTAGAGATAGTGTTCGTTATATACCATCGAGACCAGGTTATTTCACTGAATCTGATTCTGACGACATACAAGAATTAGGTCCAGGTTGGACGTGTAAAAAATGTACTCTATTAAATTCAGCGTCGAAAACAACATGCGAAGCATGCGGTGGATCAAAATTAAGAAGTGTCTCACATTTAGATGATCCAACATTGAGAAAAAGTGAAAGTTGGGTTTGTCAGTCATGTACATTGAGAAATCCACTTACAGCAATTACATGCAATGCTTGTAAAAATCAATCATTCACCGAAACACGAGAAAATAGATTACTCTCGGCTCAAAGGAGTCCAAGTCCAAGACTCAATTGTCCCACGCCTACTAGTCAAAAAGCTGTTACGCCAAGGCATAGAAATTCTGTCAAGAGAAATGGTTCTGGATTGGTTGATAAAAAGTACATTAGAACCAAGGAATCCGGTATTGCACAGGTAATAATATTTTTTCTTCCCCAAAAAAAAACAAACATTTTTACATTTTTATTCTATTTTTCTTTCTTTTTCAGTGGCAATGTAAGCTGTGCACTTTTGAAAATAAGAGCACACATGGAAATTGTGAAATGTGTCATAGCTCGAAAATATTGTCACAAATGCCGAATGATAGACCACGACCCAGTGAGCCTGGTAACAATACACTACGAATACAGAGACAAGAAAGTGTTGTTATGGAAAATTTGCGAAAAATCGAAGAAAGAGAAGCATTGGAAAAATGGGAGAGAATAGTTTTATATTGTAAAGAGGTAATTATAATTTTCTTAAGAAAACTTTTTTAATATTTCCAAAGTTTCGAATATGATTCAAGATGATTATAAACATTTTTCTTAAAAATTATTATTGTCGTATACGGATATACAAAAAAAAATGAGAAATGTCAGGGAATTTTTTCCGTCCTTTTGAAAACATAACTTTAAAAAAATATTTTTAATGTCTAAAATACAGTTTCGCAATTTTTTAGTTATGAATTAATAACGCGAACAGTAATTCGCGTTTTCCATTCGCATTTAAAAAAAAAATTAATTTGTAATTGAGTCAAAATTTGTGAAGTGTGACAATATTTTTTAATAGTGGAAATTTTTTCATGAAATTCACGTTTCCCTATTCAAAACACTAATTAAAAAATATAAGTTAAAGTTTTTTCTAAATTTGAAGATTTATACAAATTATTGTTATAAACATTTTTGTGTATGATTTTACAAATTTTTTGTTTTTCCATTAATCTACAAAATAAATTTTTCTGGCGTTTGGCTTATTTTAAATTAACACTGCTTTCGATTAATATTTATCATTTTTTAAAATTACATAATTTGTTAAAAATATAAACAATTTATTTAAACCGGGAAATGACCGGGAATTTATAATCATCAAAATTATCGCCACCCTGTTTCTCCATCGATTTAGCAAACATTTTTTATTGTATATTACTTGTGAAACAAACTAAAATTATTTCCAAAAAGAAAAATTTGTTAACTTACCTTCGGTTAAGAGTTGCAATAATTTTTATTCTAGAATGCAAATTTAAAAAATCGATGGAAAAGTTAGATTAATTTTTATTTATTTAAATAAATTTTTTATATTTTTAACAAATAAGATTTTGAAAAATGAGTAAAATTAATCGAAAGTGATGTTAATTTAGAATTATAATGCCAAGCGTCAGATAAATTGATTTTGTAGATTAAAACAGAAAAACGAAAATTTGTAAAATCACGTACAAAAAAGGTTATTAACAATAACTTGTATAAATTATCAGTTATAGCAAAACTGAGCAACTTATATATTTTATTTACTGTTTTGAATAAAAAAAAACGTAAATTTCATGAAAATATTTCAAGTGTTAAAAAAATATTAGAACAGTTCACAAATTTTGTCTCAATTTTAATTCAAGGATCAATATAAGCAATATAATTAATCCAGGCTTCACAGTGTTTCCCCTATTCCCCTATTTTTCCTCTATTTTAAAAAATTCCCCTTTTTTCACTCATTTCCCCTATTTTCTGTTGAAACTCGAATATTATTTAATAAATATTTATATTATATAAATTTAATAAAAATATTTAATAATATTTAATAAAAATATTTAATAATATTTAATAAAAATATTTAATAATATTTAATAAAAAATCCAAATTTGAACCAAAAAATTACAAGCCTTGGATTGCACGACTTTTTTGAAATTAATTACGAAGCTGAAGTACGCAACGTTTATATAAACGATTTTTAAAGAAATAATTTTTTAAAATGAAAAATTCTATAATTTTTTGCCTAAAAAATATTTCTTGTAGTTTTCATTAATCAACAAATTATAAAAAAATATTTTTTAGGCAAAAAATTATAGAATTTTTCATTTTAAAAAATTATTTCTTTAAAAATCGTTTATATAAACGTTGCGTACTTCAGCTTCGTAATTAATTTTAAAATAAGTTTAAAAAAATAAAGAGCGTTTATTTATTAGATGTATGCAATTCAAATTTTTATAAAACATTGTAAATGACAAAAAAATATTAATGGGTGGTCTCAAAATTTTCACCGGTAAATTTTATTCAATCAACTTTAAAACATTTTGATTAAGGAAAATATACATTTAGATTTCACCCTATTTTTCCCCTTTTTTCAAACAAAATTTCTCCTATTCCTCTTTTTTTCAAAAAATTTTATGCTGTGAATCCTTATTTATAAATGATTACCAAATGAAAATTAATTCGTTCTTTAAATAAAAAATGTAATCTATTGTACCTATTCTGAAAAGCTGAAAAAAATTTAGGTCTCGAAAACCTGTAAATATCGAATTTTTGTTTTCAGGCTAATTATAGACACCCTGATATTATATTTTTATTTCAAAAACGTTTATTCTTTCTCTTTACAGACGAATGAACCATTTGTTGACGATTCATTTCCACCGGCACCAAAATCACTCTACTATAATCCAACCGATACGAAGGATAATCACGTTGTTCAATGGAGAAGGCCACATCAAATTAATGTTGATTCGAGTGTTGATTCACGATTGCCGTGGGCTGTTTTTCGTACACCATTGCCCTCCGATATATCGCAAGGTGTTTTGGGTAATTGTTGGCTTCTATCGGCATTGGCAGTTCTTGCCGAGAGTGATGAACTGGTAAAACGTGTTCTCGTCATGCGTGAAACATGTCCTGAGGGTGCATATCAAGTACGTCTATGTAAAGATGGTAAATGGACAACAGTATTGGTTGATGATTTATTGCCATGCGATAAAAGAGGACATCTTGTCTATTCCCAAGCAAAGAGAAAACAACTTTGGGTGCCATTGATTGAGAAAGCGGTTGCTAAAATTCATGGATGTTATGAAGCACTTGTTTCGGGACGTGCAATTGAGGGTCTTGCAACATTAACGGGAGCACCATGCGAGAGTGTTCCATTGCAACCGTCAGCTTTGCCAAGTGAAGATGAATTGGATAAGGATTTAATTTGGGCACAATTATTGTCGTCACGTCAGGCAATGTTTTTAATGGGTGCAAGTTGTGGTGGTGGTAATATGAAAGTTGATGAGGAGGAATATCAGAGAAAAGGATTGAGACCAAGGCACGCTTATTCTGTTCTTGATGTTCGCGATGTACAGGGAATAAGATTGTTGAGATTACGTAATCCTTGGGGTCATTATAGTTGGAAGGGCGATTGGTCCGATGATAGTCCAATTTGGACGCCGCAATTGCGTGAAATGTTGATGCCCCATGGTGCTTCGGATGGTGTATTTTGGATCTCGTTCGATGATGTACTTCGTTATTTTGATTGTATTGATATTTGTAAAACAAGAGTTGGATGGAGTGAAGTTAGATTGAGAGGGACATTGCCACCACTATCGTCACTTAGGCATTTGTCCTGTGTTCTTTTGACTGTACTTGAGCCAACTGAGACGGAATTCACGCTCTTTCAGGAAGGCCAAAGGTTTGGAAAATTTAATTTAAAAACAAAATTTAAAAAAAAAAGTTATATTTATAATTTTTGCTTTTTTTTCGCAGAAACTCGGAGAAATCACAACGTTCGCAATTGGATTTGTGTGTTGTTGTTTTTCGTACACGATCGCCAGCGGCGCCGGAAGTTGGTCGATTGGTCGAGCACAGTAAACGACAAGTTCGTGGTTTTGTTGGATGTCATAAAATGTTGGAGAGAGATTTGTATATTGTCGTTTGTCTTGCTTTTAATCATTGGCATACTGGAATGGAGGATACGTCAAGTTATCCAGAATATGTATTGGCTATTCACAGTTCAAAGAAATTGTTGGTCGAACAAATTTCTCCGCCAGCTTTTGTTTTGGCCGATGCAATAATAAGTCTCACACTTGCCAAAGGACAACGACACGAGGTTTAAATTCAATTTTTATATTGACGAATTTATTTTTTTTAAAAAAAGAGGATAAATTAGAAATTTGTCTTTTTTTTAGGGAAGAGAAGGAATGACTGCCTATTATTTGACAAAAGGTTGGGCAGGTTTAGTTGTAATGGTTGAAAATCGTCATGTGAATAAATGGATTCATGTGAAATGTGATTGTCACGAGAGTTACAATGTTGTTTCTACTAGAGGACAACTGAGAACTGCTGACAGTGTTCCCCCTCTTCACAGGTAAAAAAAACTTTAACAAAAATTAAATTACTATATTTTATAACTAAATTACATTTTTCTAATATAAAACAAACAAAATTTACTTTATAGAAAAATATTGAATTGAATTTTAATTTTTAGACAAGTAATAATAGTACTAACGCAGCTAGAAGGAAGTGGTGGTTTCTCAATAGCACATCGATTAACGCATAGATTAGCGAATAGTGGCAATTTACACGATTGGGGTCCTCCGGACACGCATCATTGTCCACCGATAGATATTCAAGTTGAAGGATTACACAGTCCACGTTTAATAACTTGAATTTTTTCTTTAACTGCTTGAAGAGAGAAAAAAAAATGGAGAGAAACCAAAGTTTACACTCACACACGAAAGGTATAGAAATTATGGTATTTTCACAAAATTTTTGGGCACAATTGATTTAAAAAAAAAAAAAAAAAATATTGATTTAGAGCTTGACTCCCAAAAAAAAAAATGATGATTATATTAAAATCACTTTTGGAGTTAATCAGACAACAATACATACATGGGTGATAAAAGGAATATTCAAAGAGGGAGAGAGAGACATCTTTTACCGATATAAAAAAAAAAACGAAACAAATTATTTTCTCATCTATAACGTTTAAGCATGGCAAAAAAAAATGAATAATAAACAATTTAAATACAAAGCAAATGGCATAATGACAAAATGTACATCTGCAAAGTGAAATCTCTAGGGATCATTAGAAAAATGTGATCATTGGAATTATTGTTTTTTGGAATTGCATAGAGTATAGAGAGTGAAATCGAGGGAAAATTTTCTTTCTTTTTGTTATTTTTTGAGAAAAAAAAAACTAGATAAAAAGAGTACCGAGAGTGGAGAACAATTCCAAAAAAGATCTCAGTAATTGGTCTATAGATATAAAAAAAAAAGCTTTGATGCTTTTTGAAAAAAAGGCCTAAATGATCAAATTATGTAATTTCTTGCCTAAAATCTCAATAACGATATTATTTTTCACATATAACACATTGATATTCATATTAGTATTAAGGATGACGTAGATCTAATTTTCAGTAAACTCCACTTGAAGTACGACAATTGTTGTTTTATAATAAATGTAATCTCTGAAAGTTAGGGCAAAATACTTTTCAAAAGCTGCCTTTTTGTGCCTGTGTCACTTTAAATATGATTTCGGTTCGTGAAAGAAAAAAATATCTCAAAAAAAAAGAATTCTTCTTTTACAATATTCGAATTAATCTTCTCTTTCTCTCTACACTTTCTTTTTCAAGAAAGACTATTTTCCGAAATACGTATATTTGTAAATAATCCTTTTTTTAAAAATAATAATAACTAATTTTTTATTTAAAGAAAAAATTTTTAAATCCAAACGAAATTTTTAAGTTAACTTTCAAAAAATGGTAGATGGTTAGATGGTTCAATTTTTTTTTAATTTTAATTTTCAACTGGTAAAGTCTAAGAAGAGAGATGTTAAATAAGTATTTTTTTTCAAACTCATTTTATTCGAAAATTCCCTTTAAATTATCAAAAATCAAAAAAAGAAATCAACATTTTGAAATCTAGTGATTTAATGATTTGGAATGGAATTCCAAATAAAACGAGTTTAAAAAAAATGACACATCTCTAAAGATAGGGGGGAAAAAAAGAACGAAAAAACCTCAATCAGGCCTAATTTTTTCAAATGTTCGGTAAAATTTAACTTTTAACCGCATTACATTCGAAAGACGTAACCAAACACCGAAAAAAAGAATAATTACATTTAGCATTCAAGTAAGTTTCTGAATTACAGTGGCCTTCGTTTTTTGAAAACAAAAAAAGAGATATTTATGTATAGTTGGAATAAAGTGACACACCGACCTGGAAAAAAAAATAAAACTCTGAATAAATTAATGTAATAATGCGTAGAAATAAATGAAGAAAAAAAGAAAATTAATTAAAAATAAAAATCATTGCTATCGATCTCTATCGAATCAAGTAAAAAGAAAAAAAAAACTAAAAGTAGTTTTCGGTTTTTTCTAAACTAGAATATATTTGAGGGAAAAAAAAGGGCTATGTAATGAAAAAATTCAGAATTATTGAGTTGACCACTCGTGCCATACCAAAATAGAATTTAGACTTTATCAAATAGTATTCGATAATAATAAAACTTCATAGTTGCGTATTTCTTTCGCTACTTGTAATGCAAATTTTCACAGGAATATATAATATATATATATATATATATCTATTTTCCATATCGCATGTGATGATATTAATGTAAAATGTGTTCTCAATAATTCGGGGAACAAATGTCTTTTACTTAGAAATAATTCATAGAAAAATTACGCTTTTTTTTTATTTAGTTTTTAGACAAGATTCTTTATATAATTCTTTTTAAGTTTCTCTTGTTAAGTTTTTTTTTTCTTTCTTTTCTTTCTTTTAACGTTTACATTTTTTTTAAACTACCAAATAAATTAACCAATTAGTCAATTAAATTCATTAGTTAATTAAAAAATCAGTTAGGTAATTAATAAATCAATTAGGCAATTAAATAATTCAATTAATAAATAATTAAATTAGGTAATTAAAAAATTAATCAATTATGATTAATTGTTCTGTTATTAATTATATTAATTAAAAAAAAGAAAAAAATTCTCAAGACATTTGTTTCCCATTTAGTACAGTCACCACACAAAAGACTTGTGATTTTAATTTGATATAATTTTATTTGTTATTATTATGTAACATATCGGGGAATAAAAATATTAGTTATTTCATGTTTTTTGTGAATGGTTGCTATAATTAATGATTGAAAAAAAAAATACTAAAAAAACAAATTAAATGCACTATGTAAAACTGAACCAATATATAATAGATTTTTTGTACGTGTGTCTGAATATTTTACGCGATTGTTTATATGGGTTTGAATGCTTTAGAGAATGAAAAATCCGACATGTAAATATAGGAAAAAAAAAAAATTATTTATTCTATTCGAATTTTAAAAATAAGGTTCTCGTGTACTGCTATATTGTGTTACAAAATAAAAAATATACGCGTTAATTTATTCTTTAACGCGTCAAAAAAGATAAAATAAAAAAAAAAACAAAAAAAAAGGAAAAGTAAATAAGAAAAAATAAAATCAAGCAGTATGTGAGAAAAGAAAAAAAAATCTACACCAGTGGTGTACGAGGCATAACTATTTTCACTGGATCGTATAGTCAATTTTTCTCGAGTCATCTGAATTCTAGGAGCTCGCAAAAAAAAGCTTAAATAGTAATTAAGTAAAATAAATAATTTTATAAAAAAAAATAAACAAGATTAAAATAAAAATCTTTTAAAGGTTTTTTTATGATAATCGTACACCACTGAAGAAAAAAAAAAAAAATAATAAAACTATTTAGACATATATTCTTAATATGTGAACAATATGGTGTCTCATTGTATATGTTATCACAGCGCATAATATTATGGTGTCATTTAATGATAAATATGCAATTTATACTTTGCAAAAAAAAAAAATAAATAAATAAATAAAAAGACGGTAGTTGCCTACTAGGTGTCTTCTGAAATAATTTCGTGAAGCATTTTACTTCAAGGTTTATATAGTCTTAAAATATCGCTTTTATAAAAAGTGAAAACAATTTTAAAGGAAAAAAAAAAAATATTTTTCATATAATAAAAGCCAAAAAAAAAAAAAAAGAAACACTTTCGAGCGAGAAAAGATTATATATATATGTATATGTTCTTAGAATAAATTTGTATTTGTCGATGTTCAACAATTTCTCGTAGTGGTTAAAAAAAAAATTATATTTAGAATGTAGAAAAAAGTACAAGAGGGTTCCCATTTGTTTAGAAGAAATACACTATAATATTAATAAGAATTCAGAAGCACCTGGTGCGGCTCTTATTACCAGCAATCAATTTTTGTGATAGTCTGAAAAAAAAGAGAGAGATCTGAAATAACTTGAGCGATTGATTAATAATATCCCAATGAACAAACAAAAAAAAAAAAGTGTAAAATCAATAAAGTTTACATTGCGTAATTACAGGAAAAAAAATCATCTAGGTATTATTATAATAAAATATTTACTAGCGTATAATAAACAATATGAAGATTGTGTTGTCCCCTGGTTTGTATCGTGTAGACACGCATTTATTAATAAATTGAAAAATAATTCAATAATTTGTTTTATTTTCATATCTTATTTTAAAAAAAAAACCAGTTAATAAAAAAATATTGTTTGAAATTACCCGCATGTTTACATAGCAACACACGTTAGTCAAATTCACTTCTTGAAAATATAAACAAGAATGATTATTACTATTTAATTTACCTTGTAATTATATTTGTCTAAAAAGAATGTTTTGTAAAATTATAATTAATTGATAAACAATTTGTTAATTTTACTAATTAATTTTTTTTTTCATTATTTTAGGTGGAGTTTGATTCACGTAGTGGGTTTATTGGCGAAGAGCGAATCGGAAATGGCGCAGTGGACAATATCGAACTTGTAGACCAATCACGTGTTTGATTTCAATTCCAAGTTGAGGTTAGAGAAGGGGATTGTGGGTTATTCACCGATGCAAGCGAATTCTTCCTTCTTTCCGCTGTGAGTTTTCCTGGAGTAGAGATCGTGAACAACATCTCGCGACGTTAACGGCGTCGGTCACGTTTTCGTATTCGGCGAATACGAATTCTCGTTTATAGAAGATATACGAGAAGAGCCAAATATGTCGGAAGATACGAAAAATCAGGATAATTTAAAACCTAAGATGGAAAATAATGATAATTCTCATCAAGGTGGTGGAGGAGGCGGTGGTGGTGGACCACCAGGACGTGGTGGACGCGGAGGTGGAAGAAGAGGAGGAGGTAATAGCAGATTTTCCGGTGGCCGTGGCGGAGGAGGAATGGGAGGCGGCAGAAACATGGATGGAAATGTAAGAATTATCTATTTTATAACCTATAGAAAATTAAATTATCTTTTAAATGAGCCGTTGTTTTAAAAATTTCATTTTTCTATATTACTTAACGTATTTTTATTTATGAGTAAATTTTTCGTATTTCCAAAAAGAATTTCATGTAAGAAAAATATTTACAAAATGGTGGTCGAAGCATTTTTAAAATTTTGGCACGTGCTTCGATTACAGTTTCGTTTCATTTTGATTAAATCATTTAAAAATTCTGATCCCCGATGCCACGCTTGCGTTGATTTTTATTATAATCAGCAAGTGCCATAAATAACAATTTTAAAGGGGTAGAGAAAAGTAAATCCAGCTAGGAAGCATGGTAGATTATTAATTGTCTCACCATGTGCCGAAAAGTAATGGATACAATTTAAATACAGTAGATAATTGATTTTTTTTTTAATCACTACAAAGAATTTAATTATTAATTTTCTATTTAACAGATGAAAATGAGTGAATCAATGATGGATCCAGATATGGAAGGAATGGACAGAGGGGGCCCAATGGGTGGTGGTGGAATGGGGGGAGGAATGGGTCGTGGTGGAGGAATGCGAGGTAGAGGACGCGGTGGTGGTGGCGGTGGCGGAGGTCCCGGAAGAGGAATGGGAAACATGATGTCGCAGGATGTAAGTTAATTTTATTATTCAAAAGAATAAAAAGTGAAAATTGTTTCTTATTGAGATTGAAAATTTTTTCAGGATCGTTTATTGGAGCGAGTAATGAGTATAAGTGGTCCAACGCACGATTTACCACCTCAGGATTGTACAGAAAAGAAATTTAATGGTCGAAATCGTTTATACATTGGAAATTTAACCAATGACGTTACCGAAGATGAAATGAAAGAAATGTTCGCACCTCATGGTGAGGTTTCGGAAATTTTCATCAATAAGGAGAAAAATTTCGCCTTTTTAAAAATGGTAATTTTTTCTTTCCCGTATTTTTTATTATTTTTAATTAAAATTGAAAATTTTCCAATGATTATAATAATTACCGTTTGATTATCATGTGATGATACTTATTTGGCTGCATTTTTTAATGTAAATGAGGATAATGTTAAAAGTGTAGTTTATAGAAGTGAGGTCTGGAGCTTTTTATATATTAAAGATTTAAAATTTTAGGATTATCGATTAAATGCCGAAAAAGCGAAACACGAATTGGATGGTAGTCAAAGAAAGGGACGCGCCCTTAAGGTTCGCTTTGCCCCAAGTTCCAGTGCCGTGAAGGTGAAAAATCTAACACCCTGGGTATCAAATGAATTATTGGAGAAGGCATTCAGTGTATTTGGTGATCTTGAACGTGCAATTGTCATTGTTGACGAGAGAGGAAAGTCAACTGGCGAAGGAATTGTTGAATTTTGCAGAAAACAGAGTGCACAAACGGCATTGAGAAAATGCACCGATGGATGTTACTTTTTAACAGCGTGAGTTAAATTTAATTTTTAAAGAATTTTTTTTTAAAAAAAACCCCAATGCCACGCTTGCGAAATTATTTTATAATCAGCAAGTGCCATAGAAAAAAAACTATTTTAGGGGAATATAAAAATTAGCCCAGCTAGGAAGCATGATAGGTTTTTTATTTGCCTAATCATGTGCCGAAAAGTAAAGGGCACAAAAATTTGAAGAAAAAAAAAAATTACTAGTTTATTAAATATAATAGTTTATTTTCACCGAAAATTAATATTTATTTCAGATCATTGCGTCCAGTTGTTGTTGAACCATTTGAACAACAAGACGACATTGACGGATATCCGGATAAAAATTTGCCAAAGAAAAATCCGGAATTTTATAAATCTCGCGATGTTGGTCCTCGTTTTGCTCAAATTGGTAGTTTTGAACACGAGTACGGAACAAAATGGAAACAATTACACGAACTCTGTAAGCAGAAAGAAGTGGCTCTAAAACGTGAAATGGTCATGGAGGAAGAAAAACTTGAAGCACAAATGGAATTTGCGCGTTATGAACATGAGACTGAAATGTTGCGAGAGCGTAAGTATCTTAAAAATAAATTAAGAAAAAAATTATAATTTCATTTAAAGTTTCTTTTTATACATTTCATTAAAAAAAAAGAAAATGTCAACTTAACAGGAAAAAAATTATTTTAATTTCAGAATTAAGATTACGGGAAGCTGATCGCGATAGACAAAAGCGTGAATACGAAATGAAGGAACGACAAGTTGAAGAAGTTCGTACACGTGAAGAGGAATTAAGAAGACGTCAACAGGAAGAGATGACAAATCGCATCAGGAGACAAGAAGAGGAACTTCATAGAAGACAGCAGGAAAATAACTTGTTCATGCAAGTAAGTTCACTGTTTAGAAAAATAGTTTTACCCATTTTATAGTTTCCATTAAAAAAAAAAAGAAATTTAAATAGAACATTTAATTAATTATTCTTATTTTTTCAAGGAACAAGCAATGAGAGGAGGCGTTGGAGGTGGCGGCGGTGGTGGAGCAGGAGTTAAAAATTATGATTCAGTTGGAAACAACGATCGTGAAGGTTATGGAACGTCTGATGGTGAGTAATGTCAAATATTCAAATTTTATCTAAATTATGTTTTTTTTGTTTTAAATTAAATTTTTTCTTTAAAAAAAGGAATATTTCACTTTTTCTAGTATTCACATAATTATATACATATAGTTTTTGCCTTTCCGCCTAAAACATGCTTCCGGCACACTTATTTATAAAAGAACCATAAATAATTATTATATTTTGATTTGAATTCTCGATATATTTGTTTCATATGAGTAAAATACGATTATTATTGTTTCAGGTGGAAACAACATGCCAATGGTAATGTACCTCTTTTGAATTTAATATTTTAAACTGAAAATAGTGAATTAATATATTCACTTATTTTTTAAAGTAATATTTTATTTGCGCTATCATGTCTTTAAAGACTACGAAGCGTTCTTTTTTTTTTTTGTTTTTTTTTTCTCGACATTTGATGATAAACCAGGGTGTCTAACAATTAGGAAAGGTTATATAGAAAATTTTTCGGAATTTTATATTTAAAAAGTTTTAACTGTTTTTTTTTTCTTTTTTATTTAAACTTTTTATTTGTTAATATTAATTTTCGTTAGACACTCTGTGAACGGTAAAAAAAACATAAAAATCAACTTGAAATATGAACAACATTTACAAGCATGCACATTAATTACTGACAGAGATCTGATGTCTGCAATTTATTTTTATTCTAACTTTAAAAAAAAAAATTTCCCAAAAGTTTAATTAACTAATTGATAGTTTATTTTTGAAAAATTAAATTTACACATGGAGGAGTCATCGAGTGATCTTACTTTTTAGTCCGGGTATTACATCTTACAATCGTATCTCATTCAAAATTTTGAAAACTAGAGAAACTTCACGTATTAATATAAAAAATCTTTTCACTTTGGGTGGGTGAATTTTTTTTTTATTTCTTTAACAATTGAAACGTAAAACATGTTTCAATTTAAGGATTTTTCAAATCCTGAATTATTTAATTTTTTTTTGCCCTGGCAAATAAACTAAAACGAAATATACTAGGGTTTGTAATGCCAAACCAATTAATTTTTTTTTATTGGAAGGGATTATAAAAAGTAATATGAAAATTCTGAAGAAAATATATTACATAAACTGCGAATTTGCTTTCGAAAGAAAGAATTGACTTCATTTTGTTGATTTTTAGTTGACTAGAAATTTTAGTCACTAAATTAACATGAATAGTTGAAATAAATGTCAATGCGACATTTGAGTTGAATTTTACAATGATAATAAATCAACTCGTCTTAAGGAAAATTGATTTTTGTGAATGAATAAAACAGGGTATTTTGAAAATTAAAGCCACGAATAAAAAAAAAAAAAAACCCATGTGGCTTTATAAAATTTTAAAACCTGTTTTCATTCTAACAATGAAGTTCATACTTCATAAAATTTACTTCTATTATGGAAAATATTTTACATATTTTCCCCCCTTCATCATTTTGTGACATTTAAAAGACCTTTTTGACCTCTCCATGTGCTTTGCAGACCGAGGACTCTGTTTTATATTCTATTTTTGATATTGATATAATTAACACAAGCTACGGAACAGCTGATTTATTATCATTATTTATTAATATAATATCAAGGCTTTTGAGAATTTTATGCTCAAATGTTTCAATTAAAAACAATTATTTTTATACGAATATATATTCGTACATAGAAAAAAGGTAAATTTAAAATTATAAAAATGCTATTTCGTAGCTTTGTGAAAGACCAAGAAATGCCCAAATGCTATTTCTGATCCTTGGCAATGAAAAATTGCACCTGAATAATTAAATTACTAATTAATAGTTATAGTAAATTAAATACCAGTAATATTCTGAAAAGTACGGTTTAAGTTAATTTAAGATTTCTAATTAGAGAAAAATATTAGTTTAAAAAAAAAAATACCATCATCCTAAACAGTTTAAGATTATTTTCATCGTTATTTAAAATATTATTTGGCGATTGAAGGAAATCTTTAACAAAATCAATCCCTTGATACTTAAAGAATTATCTAGATAAAAAAAAATTAGCCATTAAAGTAGAAAATTATTTTAAAAAATGAGAAAATTAATTCTGGAAATGGAATATTTGGGGGAGTTATTTAAAAAGAAAACATTAAATTGACCCAATTATGTACCAATCGGTACTATAAAAATTTTTACTCTCTTCTACATAATTTATGTATATAGAAAACATTTTATACAAAAACTATTGTTAAACAATAGATGTATAAAATTTAATTAAACTCGATCTTTCATGGTACCAGAAAGATTGATTTCTTTTCCAATAAACAGGAAATTGACTTTGTATTAAATTTTTCTTGTCATTCAAATGATAAAAAAATTGACAAGAAAAATTTGCAAAAATAAACTATTTTTGGGATTTGGGAGGGGAATGATTATTATTTTGACAAAAAGTTTTATTAAATTAATCCTTATGAAGGATTTTTATAAAGTGAATATTGATCAGAACAATTGTTTTGGTTTCACTAAAAATTATATTAATAGGGTTAAGAATTAATTATTTCTGTGAATTAAATTTGCAGTTTTAAGATTATGTATAAATTTAATTCATAGACGATAATAGTTATCTTTAAATTTAATTTGACTCTGAATTTAATTCAGAATTATTTAGATATTTACTTGTAAAAATTACATAGATAATCATTAATTAAAATATTAATATCTACATTAGATCATTATTATAATTAGCCCACCTTGCACTCGAATGTGCCGAGAGAAAAAAAAAATCCACCCAGAATTATTTTTTGAATGAACCTGCCATTCTTAAATTACCCGAAAGAAATCTTAAACCACACGAGTTGAGAGGTTCAATATCACTTCTCCTTGTCTTAAACCAAGCGTCGGAAATGATTACTAATGCCGTCTATTAAAACTAAAATTAATTTAGTAATTATGTTTTATGAAACCTGTTAAACATCCTCTTACTATGATATGACTAACATAATTTCCTAGTCAAACTAGTTAATTACTAGTATTAAGAAAATTAATTCTAATTAAAGAAAAAATGAAAAATTGTTTTAAAAAAAATAATGAAAATGAATTAGAAAATCTAAAATTAATTGATATGAAATAATAATGATTAGTAATTCGCTAATTAAAATTACCTCTTGAAATGGAAACTTTTTCATTTTTTCTTAATAATTTTTGACAATTGAATTTGCATTATTGGGCATTTACTTGGTCTTATTTATAATATTATTTATGGCGATAATATAAAATCGCAAAAATTAAACCAAATATGTATATATGTATTTTAAATTAAAAATCGAAAAACAGATGAGAGGCATTTTCAGCTGTAATCGAATTAAATATTCTCTCTCTCTCTTTCTCTCGTTGAAGTCGATTCTCTGCAAAAAATATAGTCTAACAATGTATTTTCCCCTTTCTTTTTTTCTATGTGATTTGACGAAAATTGACGACGATGCTGCTGTCAAACAATGGATGATCTCGCCTTGAAATCATGAATTTATTTTATTCATGGTGTCATTATTAAAAAAAACCTGGTATCGCGCAAACGCGATTAAAATAATTGTTCGTCCTTTGGCTGTTTTAAAAAAAAAAATTGACTTTGTATTTTGTCAATCATCAGGACCCGAAATCCTTTATGGAACAATATAACAATGTGGATCGTGGTGGGCAACGGGGGGGTTTCGACGATCGGGGACAAATTATGGACTTAATGGATATGAGGGTTGATATGGGAGGAAGTGGGGGTGGAGGAGGAGGAATGGGAGGTGGTGGCGGTGGAAATAACCGCGGAGGCGGCGGTGGCCGTTGGCAAGGTGGAAATGATCGTAACCGTCAAGACGATTTTCCCAATAAAAGAAGACGTTATTAAAAAAAAAAAAAAAAAGAAATGAAGATGACAAATCTTGTCTTTGAATCATAAAACATTATTTAATCGTACTCGTACGTTCCCCCAAGTATTTATTCTCTTTCTATAGTATTTTGTAATAAGCTTTGTGAGAGAGAAAAAAAAGATATGAACGAAATTTTTCTGATTGGAAGGGATTGAAGATTCTATTAATTTTCAATAGATACTTAATTCCGGTGACGATCATAATAAGTATCGACAAAAAAAGTAATTTTAAAAACTCCTGAAATTTTCGATTTAAAACTTATCGACTTAAGTTGCAAGTCTAAACATCTTTTAGACAATTTAAAATAAAAAAAAAAAAAAAATGTACCCTTACTCATTCTCTGAGACCAAAGCAACACACAAAATAAGATTTTTAAAATCTTGATACTCTTTAGTTGCTGATTTTTCATATGTTTTTTTATAAACATTAATATTTAGTTTATATAATTGCGACTAACAATTATTAAAAGCTATTTAACGATCCTAAGTTAGATTTTTTTTACTGTAGAAATATTACTAGATAGTATAATATAAACAATTTTTTTTTATATATATACATAAACGTGATTTAATTTCTTACTTGATTTTATTGAAATAAATTATTTTCAATAAATCTTGGGTGTAAATGTATAGAATTAGGGTTTGATTATGTTTTGTATTCCAACGACTTGGCAACTCTTCGTAATTAAAAAAACAAAACAACATTAATTAAAACCAACCTTTTAAAAGTAAGATAATTATTGTGTATATAAATTGTAGCACAAACAATTTATAGTGTGCTACATTCGTTTATGTGACAAAAATAATTTTTAAGAATTAATTCTTTTTATTAATAAAGACTTAGAGATGGAACTACATTTCTTATTATTGTATCGCTATATTTAATCCTTGATTAAAATATTGATATGCAATATTAATCATGGATTAAATTAGTAAAGAAAAATTATTTAGAAATGATCCTAGTTTGGGGTTGCAATTTTTTTTTTTTAATATTCGTAAAAAAAATTCCCTGACTTAAATTTTTTTTCATTTAATTAATGATGATAAAAACTTTATTCTATAAAATTCAGATGAAGAATTTAAATTCTTATTTTTGATGACAAAAAAAACTGTTCTACGATTATTTCTAAATGTTTTCTCTTTATATTTTTATTATTCATTCTTATCTCCAAAAATATAGAAAATTAAATTTTTTTTTGTCTATTGCAAAAAAAACTTAGTTTCCTGTAAAAATTAAATAAATTTTATTACTTTTTGTTTCTGAATTCTTTTTCATGATTTTTTCAATGAATCTAAAAAGAATTTGAAAGTAAACCTCTTTTTTAGTTGATATATATTTTTTTTATTTTATTATTACCACTATCACTGTTATAATTATGATTTAAATAATTAAAAAGATCAAAATTGTACAATATAAAAAATTGAAATAGGATTCAAAGTTTTTTTTTCGAAGAAATTTCTAAGCGACACCTTTTGCACTGAACATTATTGAAGAAGAAACATCATTGACAGACTTTAATTGAACCTACTAGACAATGAATCGCAATTTCGAGGTGAGTAAACTTTGTGAAAATTTTAATAAAAAAAAACGTAATGATATTTACGTATCATTTGGGAGTGGAATTTATGTTTATAAACAAATATCAACTTATTAACATATATTTAACATATTATTATGAAAAATCTATTTTTGAAAATGGCCTTTGGCTTTGTGGAACCTTGTTCCATTTGACAACATTCTCTGAAATGATTTTTAAAAATTTATCTAGCAATAATTTAATTGCTAAAAAAAACATTTAGCACTTGATTCCTGAAAGAAATGTTAATCTTTTCATTACTGAAAAGTATATTTAGCCACTATATTTAAAAATTATTTAACATTTTATTCTTCCATGGATAAATATTGAACCTGAGAAATTATTTTATATAGCCATTTAATAGAAATATCGGAAATTAATAAGCAGCCCAGAATTAATTACCAACTGCCCTGAGACAACCAATTTTGATTCAGAAAATTTTGAAAAAGAAGGTTGTCTGGGATTAATTTTTCTCTTCCTGGGCTGTAATTCATTAACTTATTGTAATGATAATAAATTATTTAGGGGGAAATTAATTTAATTAGAAATTATGAGAATTCTAATATTGAATATCTCTTCCCATTTTTTTTTATTTTTGCTTTTGTACCTAAGTACAAGTACCTTTTTAGGCATATATTAAAAATACTTCGAATTTTAATTTTTAAGAAGGAAAATTAATGAAGCAGTAATTAATTGAATCCTCGAATTTAAATACGCGATGATTAAGATTGAATTCTCAAAAGAAAAACATCGCGAATTAAAAAAACTTTATACTTTGATTAAGTAAGCCTGATACTTCGATTTAAAAAAAACATACAAGATTTACAAATTAAAATACTAAACCTTAAAAATATTAAGAAAACTTTCATTTTTCTATTATCGTTGCAGTATTGAAATATATGAAATATAAAAAATTTTATATTTTATTTATTTCTATATTAAAAGAATTTTTATGGTTCACAAAAATTTCATTTTTTTTTTTTTTTTATTGAGAAAAATATTGATAATAGGAAAATGGAAAGCAATTAAATTTTAAGAATTTGTGTAAAAATTAAATATTTTATGTATAAGTGACTCGGCGAATTGAGAACTCATTATATTTTTATATTTTAGGACTATCCTTTTGAATCTGCGAATGCATATTTAAAAAAGGTGCGTGTTGCGGACTATCTTGGATCATTCAAATGAAGAATTACACATGAAATGGAAATTCAATTAAATTTTCACTGGAATTAGAAAGGAAGAAATAAAAGGGTTGAAAACCTGATTTCTTTGAATGGATATTGGAATTCAGAAATCAATTCAAATTAATTCTCATCATGCCGAGTATTTCGTAAGTTTAATTTTTTTACTTAATTAAATTTTTTAATTGTTAGAGAAACTTAAAATTAAATTAAATTCATTCCTCTTAAATTTTGTAATTTAATTTGTAATAATTGTGATGATTTTCTAAACCACATAAATTAATGATTGCCATGATTATCATTTATAGTATTTGCTAATCTGATTATTTTTTATTCAAAAAGAAAAAAGAATTTATAATGCAAATGATAATTATTTAAATGTAATTTGATTTTTATTGCAGATTTTGGATATGGAAAATCTGGCTTGGGAAAACTCGTTGAGAGAACGAGGTTGAAGAACCTTTTTCATGAAGGTAAATAAAAATTGATATTTTAAAAATAGACAATAAATTACAATTATCGCTTATAAGAATTATTACTATTTAAATGATGATACTATGCATACCACCAAGATCTATGAGTGCCGTGATATTATTGTATTTGCTATCTGATTTAGTTTTTTTGAACTATTTTTTTAAATTTAGAACAATGTTTTCTTAAATTTTAGTAATAAAAATTACATTTTTCGTGTTTCAGAAGTTACAAAATGGGAGAAGATAAAGAGAAAAAAATTTCGGAACACATCGCAAGGAACTTAAAGAAAAATTGGAGGTTTCAAGGATAAAAAATGGAAAAAAAGGTAATAGAAATGTAATTATTTCATTCACTTTTTTAAAATTTATTTAAAATTAAATATAGTTTTTTTTAACTTTCAAAAAAATTCCCACGCTTTTAGTTTATGTGGTAATTTGACTTAAAAGCTTTATTTATTATATACCAATAAAATTAGAATTTAAATTTTAATGATGATACTTAGCATACCACCAAGATCTATGATTGCCATGATTTTATTGTATTTGCTATCTGAACTAATTTAATATTCTATTATAATATAATAAAATTACATTAAACATTTTTTGTAAAGACGAGACTTTTTGTTACAGATTTGTTCATTAACAAATGAAATTGAATAAAAACTACTAGAGAAAAAAACTGAGGATAAAAAATATTGGATATACTCTTACAAATTTATAAGGTAATAAAACTTATTTTCAAATATTTTGTTTATTTTTTAAAAATATTATTAACTTTAGAATTAAAATGATGATAACTATCTTTCGGGTCTGATAATATTGATGTCAAATAATTCCCAACGTGTACTGAGTTCAATTTCAAATTATAATATGATAAAAAGTACTTAACTTTATTTATTAAATTTTTTCAATTTTAATTACAGATAAAAATGTTCGAGTGACCCGGTTTGGAATATGAATTAGAAGCGGAAAACTTTGCTTCATAGGTAATTTATTACGTTAAAGTTTATTTTGTTTAGTAAATAATAGAAAAGAATAAAATTAAATTTTTATTTAATATTGAAAATTAATAAAAATTTGTTTAATAGTGAAAAATATTAAAAACAATTTTTCTTTATGAATAATTTTTATTTTATGAAATGATGATAACTATCTTTCGGGTCTGATAATGTTGATGTCACACTTTCCCAACGTGTTTTACTGAAATTTATTTATTTAAAAAAAATACTATTTATAACTGATTGATTAGAAAAATAAATTTAAATTTGCTTTTTTCAGATATGGAGCCTTGTTAGCAAGAGAGACTGTTGAAATTTATTTAAAAAAAGGTGAATAAAGTAAAAATTCAATTTACTTTTAGTTAAAAACTAAATAATTAAACTTTTTTTTTTAATGATGATACTTATCTTTCGGGTCTGACAATGTTGATGTTACCCATTCCCAACGTGTTTTAAACTGAATTTTATATTTTCTAAAAATAAATCTTTCTTTTGCATTATATTCTTTAATAAATGAAGTTTCTTGTTTCAGATTTTCAGTGACTGAAAAGCTTCAAATTTGTCGTTGCAAAAAAAAATCAAGATTAACCAGAATAAATAAAAGGTGAAATTAATTTATCAAATAAAATATAAATAATAACAAAAAATGATTAAATTAGATCCATATTAATTATTTATTTATTATATTCAAAAAATGTTTCATATTAATTTGTTACTGTTAAAGAATTCTTGTTATTGTCTCTTATAATTTAAACAAAAATTAAATGCTTATTAAAATAATTTATATGATGAAATTCTGGCTAGAGTCCTGAATAAAAAGATGACAAATTCCTGTTCGTTCTATTTCTGACATAAAGCAAAAAAGAAAATCATTTTTATTTTTATTGGATCGTTTTTTAAAATAATTGTTTTTTTTATTTGTTTCAGCTCAATTTTTTGCAGTTCATAAATTTAAAAAAAAAAACCGAACATTTATTGTTTCTGTATTTAATTTTAAATAAATGTTATTTATTATAAATTATCTGTTATTTTTTATTTCCCTCTTTTACCTCTTCTAAAATTAATAAATATGGAATAATAAAACCAGATTACTGGGATTAAATGAACTTGAAATGAATTTTAGAATTTTTTTTCTAATTATAAAATGTCATTTTTTAGTTAATTATATTTTGTTGTTATTTAATTTTGTCATTTTCGTTTTTTTTTTTTTAAATGCAATATTCTTGATTTGAATAGGCGCGCGCTTATCTAATTTTAACCAATCAGACAATTGCGAAGCCTGCGCATTTGAGTCATTAAATGGTTCGATCACAACACAAAAAGAAGTGAAAGTAAACAAGAAACTTAATTTATAATAATTCTTTAAAGAGAAAAACAAATATGATGGATTTTTAATTTATTCAGGTAATTAAATATTACTCCACTAAATAAATTTGTTTTACTATAAAATAATTGTGAATATATTGGTGTATGTAGCATTTTAAATTATCTTATCAATTTTAACCTCAAATTTTGTATTTACAAAAATATATTTAAAATTTTTATAGTAAATATTTTTTTTGTTTATTTTTGAATATTAGTTTTAATTATTGAGTTAATATTGAAAACTTAGCAGGAAACTGTTCAAAAAGTTAGGTTAAACAACATAATTTTTTAAACAAAAATAATTTGAATATTAAATTAAACAATATTTACATTTTATTATTTGTTTAATAAATACTAATTTTCAGTAATATGCATGTAACATTGTAACTAAATTTTACATAAAAAATTAGATAAATTATCCAATTATTTGAAATTGATATTTGAAATTGATTTTTAGATAATGAAAATGTTAAAAAAGGCAAAAAAACTTAAATCTGAACCAGTGGAACTGGATGATGTAAAAATTGAACTTGATTCAATTATAAAAGTTGATCCCGATTCGAGTCCATCTTATGAATCACATTATATAAAAGAAGATCCTTTCATTGATCTTTCGTCCGATTTAGAAAATAATGAAATTAATTTAAACTTCAAAAAATTTAATGAGGAAATAGACTTAAATGACAATGATGATTCATTAAATCAACTTGAAGAAAATGCAAATAGAGAAGAACCATCAACGGCAAGTGAATCGAGTTCGCCAAAAAAGAGAAAAAAAATGTCACGCGCTGAAGAATCGGCATTGAGACAACAAAAATTGATAACAAATCATCCTGTACGAAAAGGTTGTGATACTTGTCGTTTAAAATGTAATATTAGAATAACACCAGAAATGCGTGACAAAACAAATAAAGAATTTTGGAGTTTAATTGGCCTGGTGAGAAGACGATCATTTATATTAAATCTTGTAAAACGATGTGAAATTAAAAGACGTACTGTTGATGTTAAACATAAAAAACGAAATAACGTCTTTATGTATTATGTCAAAGATAATAATGGTAAAGAGCAACAGGTATGTAAAACATTTTTTCTCACCACATTGGGATTTAAACCATCAAATGATAGTATTATTCTGAATACAATGCACAATTTTAATAAAGAAACACTTGAGCCAAAAATGGATATGCGTGGTAAAATTAAAAATCCTGATAAAATGGAATCGCGAAGAAAAGCAATACAGGAACATATTTTAAGTTTATATCCATGTGTTCCACATTTTCAAAGAGATGATGATCTTCCAATTAAACGTTATCTTTCCAATGATTTAACAGTTAAAGATATGCACGGTGATTTCCTTAGAAAATATTCTGAAGAAGGTGGTGTATGTTCTTATGATTTATATCGAAATTTATTGATTGAAATGAATATCTTATTTGCAAAAGTTGGCATTGACGAATGCGATTTATGTGATATTTTCAATAAACATCATTCGGATCATAATAAAAATCATCTATCTCCCGACTGTGATATTTGTGAAAAATGGTCAATTCACATGAAACGTTATTCTGAGGCAAAGGATAAATATCAAAATCTACTATTGGAAATTGCATATAATCAAAATTCAGCATATTTTACAACAGATATGCAAAAACCATTAGTCTTACCAAAACTTGAATCATCATTGATATTTACAAGAAGATTAGTGACATTTAATAAAAGTTTTATTCCCCTCGGTAATATTGAAAATAATGTACGACCAATTGTTTTTCTTTGGCATGAGGCAATTGCCGGTCGACAAGAGGAAGATATAATAAGTGTTTTTCATCAATTTTTTATTGAATGTCGGGATAAAAAAAGAATTGTCCTTTGGCTTGATGATTCATATCATCAGAATAAAAATTGGAAATTTCTCACATTTCTTCTCTATATTGTTAATTCAAATGATGTTGAAATTGAATGTGTGGAAATTTATTATTTTGAAGCTGGACATAATCCATCGACAGAATCATTTTTTCATCATATTGAAGCGTCATTGAAAAGAAAGGGGAAAATTTATGATTTTAAAGATTTTGAAAATGCTGTTAGACAAGCGTGTTCAAGAAATCCATTATTAAAATCATTAACACCATGGGATTTTCGTGAATTTAAAGATCTTTCATCGCCACAAAAATTAAAGACATTAATTTCAAAACCTCTAATGAATGATATTCGTTATTTAACAGCAGTGCGAGGAAGTTATATACTTAAATTTCGAATGAATTACGATGATAATATTGAATTAGCGGATTTGGATTTTTTACAAATGAAAATAGCAAAATTTGGATTTTCTAGACCGGAAATTGTTGGTGCTTATCGTGGTATTCCTAATGATAAAAAAAAGGAAATTATCGAAAATCTTGTGAAGGATATGCCAATGAGTAGACGTCAATTTTGGTACGATTTACCTGAAGGTGATTTTCTAGATCTTATCGACAATTATAGTTAAAGAGGTATTTGTTTCTTTTGTTAATATTTATTTATTCTCAAATGTTAAATTTTTTTGAAACTAAAAAGAAATTTATTTTTCCCTCTTTTATATTTTTCATTTAATTTTGAAATTGTTTAAAAAAAAAGTTAACTCTTAAAAAAGTTAGCTCTGAAAATGTTAAAATTCTCTATAAAAAGTTAATTCTTTCTTTTTCTCAAATATATTATAAAAGTTCATGAATATTATATATATATAAATATTTATATAGGTATATTTTTCAATATGAAAAAATAAAAATACTCTAAATATTTTGTTACTATTAATATTTTCAGTTTTTCAAAAAAATGGAAATTTTTTTTTTTTGCAATGTATAAAGCTGTAAAAAGTAGTTTTTAGAGATACATTTTTTAAGTCAATAAATAATGAATCGCTTTATATTCCACATGAGATTCTTTATTTGAAAAAAATATTTTTTCCTAATTATAATTATTTAATACTGTAAAAAATTAAAAATGATTTACGAATCAAAAAAATTAATTGCAGAATTTTTTTTTTTTTGCACTGAAAGAAAATATTTAATAAATGCTTTTTATTTGAAGTTAATTCGAAGAAAACAATTGAATTTTTCTTCAGTTCTAAATTAAATGGAAAGAAAATTATTTTTTTTTTTTATTAAAAACATTTATGCGAAAAAAAATAAAATAGCATAAGGATTTAATATGAAACTTGATAAAAATGTTGATATCGTGAAAAAAGCTTTGACAACATTTTATTTTTTAACCGCAGAAAAAAGCCATGTACACTTTCACACGAGATTGATCGTAATTTCGTTATAATATAATTATGTCGAAAATTTACAATTAATCAAACGTACATACATAAATATAAAGTCGACGGTATTGCATACGGGTTTGTTTTCTTTTTTTTTTTTTTATTGTAATGTATGTGCCAAAATGGTACAAAAATTATTTCGCAACACTCGAACAACTTATTAATACTCTGTGATACAATGGCGTGTGATTTTTTTTTTTGGTTTGCTTTCAGTGAGATTTGCTAAAATTTTTGCATTTCGACGTGCGTGTTTAGTTTTATTTGGAGAGCATTTTGAGATATTTTTTTCTTTTTTTTTTAGTTTTCATTTTTTTTATATGTGATTTGCAATATATGTATTTAAAGTCAATAATTAAATACACGGCCGGAGCGGGTGGAAGGAACGATTTTGGTGTTTTTTTGCGCTTCTATAAATCTACCTAAATCTAATAATTTTGTAACTGCGATGAGTTTTTTTTTTGGTATTATTTTTTTTCTCAAAAATTTGTTTTTTTGCCAATTTCTTTTTTTTTAATTTCATTTTTACATAATGATAATTTTGCATTTACTTTCGTATAATAATCAATCGATATCTTTTGTTTAGATTCTTAACATACACATAAATATAATGTGTATGAAAAGGATATTAACTTCACTTTCTGTCTTGAGGGGAAAAAGAGCATTTCTTTTTTTTTTTTGCATAAATATTTTTTTTTGGAATCGTTCGAGAAAGAAGTTAACTCGTTAAAATTGAAATTGGATCAACACTCCATTCCATTTTCATACTTATTAATTATATATATATATTTTTTTTATTTTTTTTTTTTTAATTATTGTAGATCACAGACAACTTGTTCTTAAGTCATAAAAACAGTTCAATATCCTTTCCCCGCGGGTAAGAATGTATCTGTTGTATAGGCGTATATATATTAATTTTATACGCTCTTATATAATTGGATCATAGTTCAATAAACTCTAAGCACTCGGCGTATAAAAAATGTATTATAGGGCGAATAGGTGGATCATGATTTTTTTTTTGTGCAATTATGCTTGATTTGAGAATAATTATAATATTAACCGAATTTTTTTTTTGACGATGAAAAAATAACAATAAATGATCTATTTCTCAAAGAATATCATTTCTTTCAATTGTTATTTTAATATCTTCTTATTTATTGTTTAAATTTGATAAATTTCTGCTGAAACAATAATTCGTTGAATTATTCCAATTTTTTTTTACTAGATTTACTAGATAATGCAATTAATTAATTTATTTATTTATTTAATTAATTTATTCATTTTTTTGTTTTCAGACAAAAAAAAATTCAAATTTTATTCATCCGTTAATAAATATATTAATTTTTAAGATAAAATATTGAGCAGAATTGAATTATTAAACTGCGATTAAAGATAAATTGTCTTAAAAAAAGAAGTAATAATATTAATAACAATAAATAGAAATGGAGCACCGTTCAAAAGGCAGTGAACTTGTTTCAGCATATGAGATTAAAGAAAAACATTTTTTACCCGTTTTCACCGATATAACGATTTTTAATTTCAAATTTAATTTTTACTCTTAAATTTATTATAAAATAAATTTTTTTTTTCCAAATTAAAAAAACTTTTAAACAGCATTGATAAAGGGCTATTTCAAATTTAAGGTAACGGGCGAACACGATTGGTATTTAAAAGAAATTTTTTTACACTGTGCCGAGCACTGTGCGAAAATGTTTTTTTTTTTTTTTTTTTTATAGAGAAAATGAATGAAGATGAGAAATATTTTTTTTTAAAACGGTCCATTGAAAAAAAAGAATTCTAAATTGAGGTGAATTTTTTTTTTATCCTTAATTATATTAATATTATTATTTATGTATAATGACAAATGAGCGAGTGTATACTGCATTTTAGCAGCGATGGCATTTATTTCTACTTTGCACGTGAAAAGATGCGTCATGATCACACAGCAAGCTTAAGTATTTAATTACTTAAGTAATAGTTTAACAGTATTTCAATATGAATTCTGTTTTTTTTCTCAATATATATTTTTTTTATATGAATTCGCAATTATTTGATAAATAATGCAACTCTTTTTCTTTTTTTTTAATATAAAGCTTGTTTTGAATTTTAGTTAAAAATTCAATTACATTTCGCAATTTTTGAATTCCAGGTCGTGCACAATTTCTATATCATTCAAAAATTGATCCCCATCATCTAAAAAAATTTGATTCTTTTAATTTTTTTTTTTATTCAAAAAAGAATCTCATTTATCTTGAACGGACTTTTATTTCCTAGACTTGGAATTCATTTCCTAGACTTGGATTTTATTTTTGTTAATTTTTTTTTCCTAGACTTTGCGGAATTCATTTCCTAGACTTGGACTTTTTTTTTAATTTTCTATATAGACGCAAAAGCCGACGTTTTTTTGCATTATTATATTATATCTTTTATTTAGTTAATATAACTTTGGATTTCACAAGAAGCTTTGTTTTAGGACACACGAAATTTACGTTTCCTGGATTATTAGTTTTTTTTTTGTACACCAGCTCCAAGACGCATTTATAACAGTGCTTTAGAATTTTCAGAAAAAAAAAATTTTTTTTTTAAAGAGTTTTAACTAGATTATACTTTTTTTTTACACATCGCACAGCGAGGAAATCGTGTGTGTTTCTTCTTTTTTTTTCTTGCAACGAGAGAGAGCGAATCACCAGAAAAAATTGGTCGCAGTTCAGTTGCTGTATTTATTTATTTTTTTTTTTAATGGGGTTTCCATGAGATATTATTCAATCCTTGAAAATGCCTCTTCAAACTGCTGCCGTCGGCCCATGATGAGTGGAGATACTCGTCGTCATCGTCTTGCTCAAGTTTCTGCGAAAAAATAATTATTTTATCCATAATTATCATTTTTATTTTAAAATTACATTTAATTTTGAAATTTCGTACATTTTCAAATATAATTTTCATTTACTTAAAAAAGATTCTGTCGATACTGGAATTTCTTTATTTAAAAAAAAAAATCGCAATTTTGATAAATTTTTTTAATTTTTTAAAAAATATAGAAAATTTTTGTAATTTTTTTTTTTTAATTTAATAAAAAAAATAATTGGGAAGAATTGATATGAAATTGAATTATAGAATATGGATTTTGGAAAGGAAATTAAATTTAGCTATCTTTTTTATTATATATTGAAGGCGAATAATTAAAACTATTGAAAATCGAGGAACGGTTTCAATTTATATATATATAGTGTTTAATAATTTATGTAAGTATATATCAGAAATCGATATAACTGACACAGTTGACGACTGCAAATAGGGGAAACTAAATTTAATATTAACTGAATGTCTCTTCGTTATACAGGCAGATCGAATCTGTTAAATTCATCTCCTCCCTCTCTCCCTCTCTGTATAAAACAAGAAATCCATGTATATATATCATTCACATGCTGACAGTATCCCTCTTCGTTTCTATGGATAAATTTAGATTTTCAATTTTGTTTCATCAAGTGAGAAACAACGTAATATTGTCACAGGGTATTTTTTTTTTATTTTGTAACATCCCCAGTATTTTTAAAATAATTAAATTTTAAATTCAAGAAATTTTTTTTTATTTAAACTACAATATATAATTTATTTGAATTAAAAAAATATTTGTCTTAGACCTATTTGTTTCAAAAGAAAATTATTTGACATAGTAAAATTTACTTTGAATAATTTTGATTTTTTTTATCTAATAAATATTTTTTTAGCTCTGATGAGACAAAAATTATTAAATTACAAAAATTTATTTCTTCAAGTTTCAGTTTCTTTTCAAGTTTCAATTTTTTCAGTAATTATTTTTCTAGCAAATAATTTTTCCATTTTTTTTTTTATTTTAAATTATTAATAAAAATATAATTTTTTCTCTCAATTATTAATATAGTTATAATAAATATAATTCAGTAATTTTTGAATACTATGCGGAAAATAGTTGGACATTAAAAAAATACGATTCACAAAAAATAAAATTGCAAATGGGATTCTAATTTTCTGAAATCGATTCGAATTTCAAATTCATAGGTTTTTTTATTTTTTGCAGTTCGAGAGATTTTCTGCTCGATGGATGGGAATTCTTGTATATGCAATTGACCGAATGTAAACCGACCTTGCTCTAAGGTGAACACAAAAGGGTTGCAGGTGGGGTTGTTCCGTGTGCAATGTGGTAAATGCGGATTGAGTTTGTTGAAGTTGAGAATGAGGTGGAAGGCTAGAGGGGGTGGGGGGAGGGGGGTTTAGAAAACAGAATCGATGCTTATACGTCCTTGTTTAAGTTTCACTGGCCTCTCTCACGCATTAAAAATTGTGCATCCCCTTATTTTTTTAATGAAACACATTTTTTTCAATTAATATAAAATTAATTAAATCCAATTAATATCAAATTAATTAAATTCAATTAATATCAAATTAATTAAATTCGATTAGGTAATAAAAATTAATTAAATTCGATTAATATAAAATTAATGAAATTGAATTACTATAAAATTAATAAAATGCGATTAGTAAAAAATTAGTTAAATTCAATTAATATATCATTTATTTAATTCAATTAATAAAAAATTAATTAAATGCAATTAAAATAAAAATGTATTTTTTTTAAGAAAAAAGTAACTCCTAACGATTAAGTAAAATTGTCCTCATTTTTTTTTTCATTGCAATCTATAAAGAAATAAAATTCGAAGGATTTAAAAGAAAAGAAACTCGAAAAGTTTACTGCAAGAAAGAATTCAAAGACTTTCAACTATTTTCCATGGGAAGTTTACAAGAGAGAATATATATAATCTAAAAAAGACGAAGGAATTTACATTGAAAAAATAAAATAAATTTTTAAAATATACAGAGAATAAATTAGACAAAAAAAGAATTTTGACATTTAACGAATAATGAATTCGGTGATTTTTTTCATCCAATAAGATTGTGTAAAATATAATTTTGTTTATTATTTAAATTATAAATTAAACCTTTCTTTATTGAAAAAAAAATTTATTCAATTTTAATAATCGGTTACTTAACTATTATCAAATACATATTTACTTATATCAAATAATTTTTATTTGAATTAAATAAATTAAATTGGAACCAATAATTTATTAATAATTATTAACATTATTATTATTATATTATATTAATGTTAATGATTTTTAATATTATATTATTGTAAAAAGAAATAAATAGAAAAAAAAACTAAAATAAAAAAAAAATAAAAAATATAATTAGTATTATTATTATTAAAATATTGTTAATATTAATAATTATTAATAATTTCTGTATTTGAAACAAATACGATTTAATTGACTCAAATAATAATGACTTAATAATAATTATTTGATAATAGTTTACCGATTATTTGAAGCAAATAATTTTTTTTTCCAATGTCGAGAAAAGCAAAATAGCGAAAATGAATTACCAAATAAAAATTGAATTAAGAATAAAAGGAGTGTTATATATAAATAATAAAAAATGGATTTTTAAGTAGAATATGGAGTGTAAAAACATTTTTCACAGTGATTAACCACCCTATATAGAAGTATTCCTGATTTAACCACTCCTCTGAATAGCCGAGAAGAATCGATTTTCTCATTGTGAGAGTTGAGTATACATCTCCAATAGTATACTCTCTCTATATATATATATGTAGAAGAATATAAGATTAATTTTATTAAATAAGACGATGAGAGGGAAGGCGTGGACGATTTCGTAATAATATTTCTCTAAATAAATAGCATGTATTTATCATAGACAGCGAGTCGCCAACTCGAGAGAGCATCGAACTATATATATATAAACAACGATAAATACAAGCATGAAAATATCCGCACACATTCCCTTTATGGTAGGTTATACATACTTCTATATGTCATAAAAGCATTGTGCTTTCTTACATACAGATTGTGTTGCGAAGTACCGTTTATCAGTTTAACAGCAAATAATAGGTCCTTTACTTTTATGATATCCAATAAAATACATTTATATTTTTCCTTTTTTTTTTTTTAATTTTTCTGTTTCACTTTTATTGATATTCATATTTTAGAAAATAGAAGAAAAAAAGAATTTCAGTTATTTAAAACTATTTTTTACTTTTTTAAACCCTAGGGGAAAAGATATATTTATCTCCGAAGCAAATAAATATTTATTTGTTTCAAATAAATTTTATTTGTGTTAAATAAAAATTTTATTTGCACTAAATAAAATTTTATTTGCACTAAATAAAATTTTACATATGCTAAATAAATTTATTTATTTGAATTAAATAAATATTTATTTGACAATAAATAAAATTTTACATGTACTAAATAAATTTATTTATTTGAATTAAATAAATATTTATTTGCGACAATAAATAAAATTTGACATGTACTAAATAAATTTATTTATTTGAATTAAATAAATATTTATTTGACAATAAATTTTATTTGCGCTAAATAAAATTTTATATGTGCTAAATAATTTTTTTTTTATTTGAAACAAATAAAAAATTATTATAGGCTCTGAGACAAATATATTTTTTTATTTGCTGTAAATAAATAAATTTTTATCTTATTTGGAATTTAAATTTTCGATATAACCTTTTGGGAATATCATATTATCATTCCGATCTAGACTGGACCAAAAAATATCGAAATATTCCTAAATAAAAGGATAACTGCTATTTAAAAAAAAAAACTTACATTTCGTCTGACTAAAATTGGTTTTTACTACTGACAATTCAAAAAAGTTGAATGTCTGACTAAAAGTAACTTTCACTACTGATAATCAAAGAAATTTTCTGTCGAAAACTGCTACTAATAGCAGTTAAACTGCTACTAAAAATGAAATTAAAATTATTTGTACGACTTAAACTGTATTGTACTACTGACACAAAAATTACTCTCTAAATTTGAATTAGTAAAAAAGTTTACTAATTTGAATTAGTGGCTCACTTTTTGCTTCTGAATTAGTAAAATTTTACTAATTATTAGTAACTTTTACTAACAATTAGTAAAATTTAACTAATTCTAAAGCAAAAAGTGAGTCACTAATTTAAATTAGTAAACATTTTTACTAATTCAGATTTAGAGAGTAATAAGAATTAATTAGTATAATGTATTGTCCGACTAAAATTATCATTTTCCACTAATACCAAAATTTACACGAAAAAACCCTATGTCTGACTAAAACGGTATTTTACTACTAATAACAAAACTTAATAATCTTTTTGTCAAACTAAAAGTGACATTCACTACTAATAAATTAACAACTGATGTCTGACTCTAACTGCATTCTACTACTGATTTTAAAAAAAATTTACAAGGAATTAAAAAATTGTCTGACTTAAACTCTTAATTACTACTGTAATTATTTACTTATTTACTTGTGTACTATAATTACCCAAAGGATAAAAATAATTTTGTCCGACTAAATATGACTTACACTACTCGATTACAATATTGGAAAAAATTTCGTCTGACTCAAAACTGACATCTACTACTAGAAATTGAAAAAGTCTGCTTGCATTTTTACTATC